AGAATACCTTCCTGCATGTACCGTGCCACGCCGTAGCGCGCGTGATGGTCCACCGTTTCGTGCGCTGGGATGGTGTCGGCTCTCAGCAGGAAGGAGAGGAACCTCGCGGGCGTCCAAACGCTGCACAGGACCTCTATCCTTATGTCCCAGTACTGCATGCTACGGCGCCTGCGATACATTTTTGCACTAGACCTTCTAATGTTTAGCAAAAAATATAAGTAAACAATCACAGTCCCTCTGTTGGTAAAAATGGCTTGCCATTGCATTTGGATAGCTACGTAGACAAGACTTTACTTTTTATTAGGTTACATACTAATATTTTGTGTATGTGGTATGATATTGCGTTTGCATAGACAATATTATTTAATTTCAATCTTTTATCGCGCTAGGGAGACTAGCATTTCACGGTATCTCGCGCTGTTTGTAAACTTAGCCTTGTATTTAAAAAAATTGTTCCCTTTCAGGATCTGTACGAGAAGACCATCCAGCGTACAATCCTCATGATGGGCCGTTATGTTGAAGCTATTGAGGATGTGCCCTCCGGTAACATCTGTGGTCTGGTCGGAGTCGATCAGTTCCTCGTCAAGACTGGTACCATCACGACCTTCAAGAACGCACACAACATGAAGGTAAACAAAGAACTATTTACATTATTTTTATTATACACACACTGCACAGACAATCACCAAAAATATTGCTCTTTTTATTTTATATTTATTTTAATTATTATTTTCACGTACCCTCAAATAGGTTAAAGTTGAAAATCAGTGTTTTGTTCCTTGAACAATGTTCCACGCTGAGCTTCGACCTTTTTGTATTGCTGCAGATCACACATAATAACACAATTTTATAAATCTTATGTTGTTTTATGTATTATCTATTCTTATGTTGTGTGTGATTAGTAACAAACAAATAAACGATATATCTATCTATCTATCAGTCTTTTTAATTATAATCTTGCAATTTGTGGTTTTATTTCAAAATATGTGATTACTTTTTTTTGTTAAAGATTCTATTCTATGACCAATATTAAGTTTACCATATTACTTCATTATGTCTGTAAATGCTCATTATACTTTACGGTGTTAAAATAAAGTGCATATTTCATTTTAATGACAGAGAATGCATGTAATGTTTGTTAAATTCATTCATCAAAGACATTTTTGTAACATTGAAAGGTTAAAATAAAATAGAAAACATATACATTATAAAAAGTGTATTATTATAATATTATTATTTATAATAATATTGAATATATTTATGAATTAAGTAAAGCTGATTTAGGAAACAATTTTTTTATTGGTTGTTCACAACATGGTATTCTGTACTAAGCATTTGCTGTGATTTATTTGATAGTTATTTATTTTTTCCATTATGCATTTTAAATTTTGTTGTAAAGAGAAACAAACAATTAAAATATAATGTATCACTCTCTGTTCAGGTGATGAAGTTCAGCGTGTCGCCTGTCGTGCGTGTGGCTGTAGAGCCCAAGAACCCCGCCGACCTGCCCAAGCTGGTGGAGGGCTTGAAGCGGCTGGCCAAGTCCGATCCTATGGTGCAGTGTATCAACGAGGAGTCTGGCGAGCACATCGTCGCCGGTGCAGGAGAGTTGCATCTTGAGATTTGTCTTAAGGTAATTAAATCCAATTGTTGTATGTCTCACAATATCCCACGTTTCGAAACTTCAAAGGTTGGAGACAGTGTTTAAGGCTGCAGTTTGTCTCAAAAACTAAAAACAATTATAATATTTATCTCAAGTCATGTCGCTTGTTGTTATTTAATTTATTTATTTATAAAAGATACACCAATAATTAAACAGACTAGTTACAATGCTACAAGTACACTTAAGGCTAGATGGACATATTAGAGGCTTATACAGCTCTCACAGATAAGTGCTAATTGGTGCTAAAGTAACAATCATACAATTAACAAAGATTCAATTATTAATCTATATTATTAATAAGCTTAATAAATTGCATTAAAATCTTAATAAAAAACTGATATTAAAAACTTTAAACTTTTTTTTTTAAATACTTCAAATATTAAATCAAAATTCGCATTATCGGTTTAACACTTTTTTTTTAACATATTTCGTAATTTTTTTTTTTTTAATATTATTTTTATTGATAAGAAACTGATTGATTTATTTTGTCACAGGACTTAGAAGAGGACCACGCTTGCATTCCAATCAAGAAGTCTGACCCTGTGGTGTCGTACCGTGAGACAGTGAGCGAAGAGTCCGACCAGATGTGTCTGTCCAAATCGCCCAACAAGCACAACCGTCTGTTCATGAAGGCGCAACCCATGCCCGACGGTCTCGCCGAGGACATCGACGAAGGCCGCGTCAATCCACGCGACGACTTCAAGACCCGTGCCCGTTACCTGAGCGACAAATACGAGTATGACGTGACCGAAGCGCGTAAGATCTGGTGCTTCGGACCCGAGGGCACTGGCCCCAATATTATGGTGGACTGCTCCAAGGGAGTGCAGTACCTGAACGAGATCAAGGACTCTGTAGTCGCCGGTTTCCAATGGGCGGCCAAGGAGGGTGTCATGGCCGAGGAGAACTTGAGAGGCGTCAGATTCAACATCTACGACGTCACACTACACACTGACGCTATTCACAGGTTTGTACAGATATGAGTTCACTAGTTTTTACTTATTTACTTGTCTATTTGTCTGGAATTTGTTAATAAGGATAAAAGGTTATTATACGTCCTTTTCCATCTCAAATACTATGTATTTTTTTTTTATTTTAATTGGTTGAATCAGCCACCAAGAGAGTACCAACTTATTAATAAAGATTACTCAATATGTTACATGATCAAATTTATAATATAACATAACAAATACTTAATTTTATTTCTATTAATGAATAATTTACGCCAAATAATTCGTAAATATCTTCAATATGCAGACTCTGTTTTAGGTTTTATGTGTCATTGTCACTCCACATATGTTACATTTATAATATTAGCAAACATTAATGTAATATCTTGCTGTATTGTAACAGAGGTGGCGGTCAGATCATTCCCACGACGAGGAGATGTCTCTACGCGTGCCTGCTGACAGCGCAGCCGCGTCTCATGGAGCCGGTATACCTTTGCGAGATTCAGGTATGTGACTGCACGCTCAATATATTCATTAATCCCGTTAGAGTCTGCACAAACGAAGGACAATTCTTTAGTTACCTTTTGTTTATCAAAATAGGATCAAATAAATTCAAATTCCAACCCAAGTTAATTGGGGGGAAAGAGATTGTTAGTAATAGAGACTGAGAATCCCATTGCTAGCAATATACCCAACCAGGTCGACAGCCTCGTGGTTCTCCCTGGAAACTATCATGGTTAATTCCTGATGAATTCATCATGATGATGACCTGTTTTCATTCTCATCTATCACCCTGCATTGGTTCTCCGCCAGCGTATTCCGTTAGCGCAGGCAGGGTTACCATACCATTTTCACCCATTGAAAAAAAACGCAAGTTAATTCAATAAAAAAGAAATCCATAAAATACAGAACTTTGTGGCATGTCTCGGATGTGATGACAATTTTTGTCCTTCTTGTATTAGTCTCCTTGTTTGTGCAGTCTCTTATTTATAGTTATTTTTAATACATGTGTGTGTCCCCATTAATTTAATAACAATAACCATTTTTGCTTCTACATTATTTTTTTTTAATATGCAGTTTTATGATTAGTTCTTAGATCATTAGTATTAGATAAATTCCTATTTTGATTGTAATAATGTTTGTCAGTATTAAATAATTGGAATATTTTTTTTGTTCCATTTATGATTTTTAAATAGCTCTACTATTACCTAATTACCTATTGGTAATATTAATTAAGCATGAGAGTGGAAAAATGTATTAGAGTAGTCTAACTGTAAAACATTAAACCAACCGACCTAAATGATAGAAAGTAGAAAAATAATGAAATTGTATAATGAAATTGAATAATAAATAATTATAAAATATTTTTATAAATCTTAATATAATAAAAAATAAAGGACCAACATCCAAGTATAATTAAAACTTGGATCAGATTTGAGTTTGAAAAAGTTAATATACGATAATACAGTGCAATAGAAAACATTTTTTTTTAAGTTGATCAAAAATATTTTTTCTACCTTTGATCGCGTGGTTTGTATAGAAGTTTGAAACATGATTATTCAGTTTCATTAATACTATAACTATCATACTAGATGTATACCCTTTACGACTATGATCCTTTATTTGGAGCTAGTTTTACGGAAAACAAGTCACATTACCATTTTCTGTATAGCTAGCTCCAATTTTTCAACGAGTGCCCCCCCGCATGACCCCACGTTTTATCCTGAGCGGGCTAGCGTGTTCATGATAGTACCGCCTTTCCGATACGTGGCAGAGCAAACAGTTCTTTGTTTTGGCATCGACACCCACGCATACGCTTTGCCTGAATAGGGGAACTAACAACCTAGTCTAAATTGTAACAAATCGACCATTGGCCAATCCTGTTTGCATGCGATAATGTTTAGATTAGTTTGAGAATAATTACTAATGAGTTTGATTAAATTCTTTTTTTTTTTTTTTACATAAATGTAAGGAACACTGATGTATTGTGTCCATTTGCTGATGGAATATAATGTTGCCATCCATTCTTGTCCATCTTTAGAATGATGTAAGAGGCAACTAGAGGAAAATAGAACACAGATTGATCAGCGTAGTCTTCATACTCAGCGTAAACCTCATACACACAGAACAAAACGAATTTATGATCACTTACTAAGTTTTTATGTATGTTGATTGTTTATAAATTTATCTTTGAAGTTAGAAGCAGCCATCACTGTACTTCATGGGCATTTTTAACTCGCTTTATAGTTATTGAATAATTAAAAAATACTAAATATTTAATTGAAGTTGACAATATTGAAATGGCCGTGTGATTTTTAAATCTCCACAAGAAGTCAATATTTGCAATGCAATTGCTATGGTTTGTGTTTAAAAAAAAATTACCGTGTGCCACAGTGTCCCGAGGTGGCGGTGGGCGGTATCTATGGTGTGCTGAACAGACGGCGCGGTCACGTATTCGAGGAGTCGCAAGTGGCGGGCACGCCCATGTTCGTGGTGAAGGCATACCTGCCCGTAAACGAGTCGTTCGGCTTCACCGCCGACCTGCGCTCCAACACCGGCGGCCAGGCCTTCCCCCAGTGCGTGTTCGACCACTGGCAGATCCTGCCCGGCGACCCATGCGAGCCTAACAGCAAGCCCTACGTCGTCGTACAGGTATGTACCGCTTTTTCTGTGCTGGCTGGCGGTAAAAAACCAATTAATAGATAGATAGAATGCCTAAATTATTTACTTGAACATGTACATTTGTTTTTAATTACATTATGAAATGAAAATGTTTCTTGATTGTACAAGATAGACATTTCATAGTGTAGCTCAAAAATAAACTGTTAAAATTTTTTATAACTGAAAAATGAGATAAAATATAAGAATACCTTCCTGCACGTACCGTGCCGCGCCGTAGCGCGCGTGATGGTCCACCGTCTCGTGCGCTGGGATGGTGTCGGCTCTCAGCAGGAAGGAGAGGAACCTCGCGGGCGTCCAAACGCTGCACAGGACCTCTATCCTTATGTCCCAGTACTGCATGCTACGGCGTCTGCGATACATTTATCTTTATATTTATAACTCTATAGAGAGTGTTTTGAAGGTTTTGTCGCCAAATACCTAAAATGAAATTATAATTTCATTCTGTCTCCATATTTTTACTGCATCGTAATATTTGCACTCAGGAATGGCAACACACAATATTGTATGATGTGACAGTGTATTATGCGATGTTTATATCTATAGGTGACAATTACTACTATCACGTAAATTGATAACAAAGTTTAAATTCTAATAAGAATACTCTATTTAACAATACATTTTCGAATCTATCACAATATCCAAACTATAATATATCTAAATATCTAACAAGATATATAAAAACGTTTCTCATTTGTTTGTTACAGGAGACAAGGAAACGGAAAGGACTGAAGGAAGGTCTCCCAGACCTAAGTCAATATCTGGACAAATTGTAAACGCAATAGCTAATGTAATCTATACTGTAACATACATTCGAGCGCCTCACGCGAACCATATTGTTTTAATAATGTGTAATTAAATTCATTTAAAAACCGAGAGCAGTTTGCAACCCATATATATACCTATGTATAAGCAGACGGAGTGCTATGAACACAATAAAAATATTGCTGGTCAATATGCATTGTTAATATTATTATAATACCTGATTATACTTATACTGTTGATTGTCTCGTAATATTTATATCGCTTCCCCTGTTTCGGTGATATTGTTATACTTAGTTGGGAGCCACGAGTACTTCTTACTTTATACTGTAATTAATTTTTAAATTATAATTTTTCTATTGTAATCGCATTGTTTGATTTCGATTAGGTTAGGCTAGTTTCTGATGTTTTAAAAAGGTGAGTGTTCATTTATAAAGACTCGGGTCGTGTTCACAACGGTCATATTTTTTTTTTTTTGTTAGAAATAGTCATGTACTTCATGATTTTACTATTTGTACTGTATCCAGAACCAGGGGACTACAGATATCTTAAACCGCGGGATATCGTTATTGTAACACATAGGATCTATGAAATGATGGTATAAGGCAGGGGAAGCACAAAAGATCCGTATGGGTCGACGTGCAACGGCTTAGCTGACCCCATATACAAAAAAAAATAAGATACTATTTGTACTATTTATCAATTATTAATATTGATATTTTGATTGCCTGTATTGTTAGCTTTAGCCGTTGTGGATACGACTTATTTAGCAGTGTACTGGTAGATTTATCTTATTGTTTATATTTAAAGCATACAAGTTAAAAATTATACATTGTTTTCAATTTTGAAATGAGTAAAGAATAAAATTTGTAATATTTCATTAGAATTCGTCCAAGCATACTCTAAAATTGATACATTCTGAAGCGCTATTTCTCTAAACCTATCTTAAAAATTTTAATATTACAGAGAAATCTTTATTCTAAGGACTAATATGAAGTAAATTTCTTATTAAGTCAAAATTATAATAAATCAACTTCATGATGGTCCATAAATCTGTAATTTCGCGGAAGTATCAAATTAAAATATTAGGTTAAGACAAGTTTGAGAAATGGCGTCTCAGAATCGACTCCTAGTTGGACTAAGTGAAGCATAAAAACCAAATGGTTTATCTTATTGGTTTATGTACAAGTTACAAGATTAGGAATATAGAATTAAGATCTATAACTGATTGATAAAACTACCAAATTATACTGAATTCAATTAATTTATTGTTTCTAATGTTATCAAGTATTATACGACATGTGTTTATTGCAGAATTTGACTTCATACACCCTATAAAGAGTCCTACACATTTAATTTAGGTAAGATATTTTCATATTGTTTGCCATTATATATAAAAAAAAAAAAACATTTAATGAAAGATTGTTTTTTGAGAAGATAATAATTAGATATTTATATATGTCTATTTTTTAATGGATTTTTAATTATATTTATAATCTTTTTTTGTTCATTATTTAATTAAATTTATAATTATAAAATGATGACAAAATACACAGACCTGTTCTGATAACATGAGGACACTATTATTAATTCCCTGATTTAGTTTCATGTTAGTTATATTTTTTAAAATATTGTTATACATATTTCATGAATTCCATTTTGTTCACAGGTCTCATATGGAGATAAATCTGTCGAATAGGTAAATATTGATTTTATCACTCACTATGATGGCTAATATTTGGATATACAAAATTTCATATTTCTATTAGTTTCGACTGTGTCTTGACTCTTAAGCGATTTAAAAAAGATTGTCATTGGGCTCGATTTTGTTGCGTCATTTCTCGAAACTAAATTTTTTATTTGGTAGTTTTGAGAAATTTTTATTTTATGAACCATCACAAACAAAATTTATAATAATTTTTACTTAAATCTGTTGAAAATTTAAATCATATTGTTTCTTAAAATAATTTCTCTGTGAGATATCAAATTGAAATATTAATTTTGAAATAGATTGACACCACAGAATCGACCCCACTGTGACTGTATTTTTTTATCTGTGTTTTCTTTACCCATTTATTCATAAAAAAGTAATACGTCCTATAAACCTATTTTTAGTTGTTTGGTTACTTTCTTTCAAATTGAGAAATTAGTGTAAAAAAAAAGACAACATTGCAAAAGCTGAGAGATTTGGCTTATTTTTTTAATAAGTGCTTAGAATTTACACCCGTGTTAGTATCGTATCAACTTTGTTATTATTGAAACTGTAAATATAAAAACAGTATAGTATTTTTTTTTTTTTCAAAGAAACTTATTATTGGTAATGGAAAATAGTAAAGTTATAATTTACTTATGATGATAAAAAATGTAGCCTGATGCCATCGTGACGGTTTTACAAGCTCAACAGGACTGAAACAACTTGCGTGGATAATTTAATATTTATGTACTCAATTACACAAATGTAACATGCTGTTACTTTGTCTACAGACATAACACGAGCATGCAAGGAATTCCGACAATATGGCAGACTGCAAGTCAGGTAATTAAAAATTTTTAAAATAAAATCTTAATATTTATTTGGTTGACAAGAAATATTGTGAAATTACAAACTAAATTTGTTAGTATTTAATAACTTGTTGCACAATAAATAATATTTTACAGTAACCACAAAATATTCTTTTTTTTTTGACAATTTGGGTTCATCCACAGTTAGAACGTTCAATATGCGTCAATCAATTATGTAAATACTAGTTGTTGCTCCCGATTTTGCACGATTGATGTCGTGTTTTCCTTTAAGTGAAATTTATCAAAAATTCTTTCTTACCAGATTATTACGTTCTTTTTTTTACCTTTAATTTGTATGATGATAAACTCCGCCCTGATGCCATCGTGACGGTTTTACAAGCTCAACAGGACTGAATATAATTCATTTTTTTTATTATTTATCTTAGATTTTAACTTGTTCTAACGATAATTTGTATAACTTGTTACAGATACCAGAATTCAGATTGTTAATACGGTACTGAAATGTGGGATAGAAAAATTTATGGTAAGCTACAGTTTATTTTTACCAAATATGATAATAACAACTCCAGTTTTCTTTGTAGAACAAAAACAACAAGTTGTGAAGTAAAATTATTTGTAATGTGTCTATATTTATGTTCATATTCAAAGTAAAGTTTATTTTTTGTAGAGTAAAATGTAATAAATACTGTTGCTGTTGAAAATCTATTGTTACATATTTAACATTGGATACCTTAAATTTAGACGACATTTCTAATAAATCTTTAAATGCCGGCTGCTGAAAATCTGACAAGTAATAGGAATTTGACTTTTTTTTTTTTTCTAATTCTTACTGTTACCTCATGTGCGTTGCGCTCCAATGGGTTATTATTGCCTAAATACCTGAACGCATCTGAATTGAAATCTTATTTTTCAACTTCGATTTACTCTAATGATGATCATATCACAGACCTGTTCTGAATTTATTTGAGGTCAAATTATTTGTCTCTGACTATAATTTCTTAGATTAATATTTTATAAATGTATACAATGAAGTCTATATATTTTATTTTATTTTCAGGTAATGGTGAAATTTCACATTTATCCTGGATCGTCGGATCGTCATAATATTGTTTGTAATTGTTTTATATCAAGTACTTTAATAAAGATTTTATATTATATTATTGTTTTCATGTCTCCCTTAAGTTTGATTACAAACTGAAAGTTAGTTTCTTGGCATTCTTACACTATGGTTTTTTTTAATGGGTGATAATGGAACGGTAACCCCACCCGCGTTATCGGTATACACCGGTGGTGCACAAGTGAAGGATGATAGATGAGGATGAAGCAGGTCAGTTAGCCCATCGTGACGAATTCAACAAGAATTGTTCACGATGGTTTCCGGGGGAACCACGTGGAGGTTGACCTAATAGGGCATATTGCTAGCTACTTTGAAAGCCCCATTGGTTTTCAAACTCCATTGCTAACAATCCCTTTCCCCCCTTACACTAAGGTTAGGTAATTACAACTTTTATGAAGTGTTTTGTATAGTTTGCCACTGCACAAGCCATGAACTTGCAGTCATGGTAAATTTGTGTATAAAACCACATTCTTATACTAGTGCACCGATCTTTTAACTTGTTACATAGATAATAGTACCATTTCTCTAAACCTAATTAAAGAAAATTTAATTTGTTACTATGGAATTCATATGTAAAAATATGAACTAAATAAATTTGTCAAAAATATAAATTTATTTTATAATGGCTCATAAAATAGTAATTTTGCGAAACTCATAATATTGACTTAAGAGCTGTATAATAGGTTTAAAGAGAAAGTTTGATGGGACCACAATAGATCGATTCCTTTCACGTCTGAGAGGTGCTTAGTTTCGCAAAATTACTGTTTATGATCCATTATAAATTGAGTTTATAATATTTTGACTTTAAATCTATTAAAAATTTAGCTTATATTTAATCTTATAATTAAGATTTCCCTGTAATGTAATTTTAGAGATTTAGAAAAAATCTTTCGATTCAACTCTTAATAATATTAATTTATAACGGAATTGTGTTTAGATAGATTTAATTTAATGTTATACTATGGACTTGACATAGGATTGACATTGACTTATTCAACGATGAATGACAGTTCAAGTTTGACAATTGTGTATGTGATAGAGTGATTACGTTTCAAGGTCTTACTTATGCGCATGTTTTATAAAATAATTAAATTCGCCTGAATAAAAGTTAGTAGTCTCACCGATTGATGTTGTATCGTGTGTTACGTCATTTCTCCAGTTATATTAATAAAATGATACCTGAAGTAGTCTTCGTGCTCGGAGCACCCGGTGCCGGTAAAGGAACACAATGCTCATTTATCTCTAAAGAATACGATTTTGTGCATCTCTCTGCGGGCGATTTGCTTCGGGAGGAGCGCCAGAGGCCAGGCTCCGAGTACGGAGAAATGATCGAGCAGAAAATTCGCAACGGCGAAATTGTACCGGTCGAGGTTACATGCTCTTTGTTACACAAGGCGATGCAGAACTCTGGCAAGACACGCTTCCTGATCGATGGATTCCCACGTAACAAGGACAACTTGGACGGTTGGAACCGTGTAATGTCAGATAAAACGAAGCTTTTGTTTGTACTCTTCTTTGAATGTTCGAGAGATTTATGCACGGAGAGGTGTTTGGGGCGCGGCGCTGCAGGCAGTGGTCGGTCCGATGACAACCTAGAAAGCCTCCAGAAGAGATTTAACACGTATTTAAATGCTACCATGCCAATAATTGAGTTCTATGAGCAACAAGGGTTAGTACGTAAGATCAATGCTGAAGTAGCACCTGAAGAAGTCTTTAAAAATGTGAAGAAGGCCTTTGAGAGTAGCGGTATACAGATAGTAAATTAAATTAATTTATTGTAGTCAATATAGTGTAATTAGTTCTGTAAATTGTCTGAACCCATGACAGTAATGTCTTCTCTGTACCTATATAAAATTTATGAGCTTTAAGTCATTGTAAGTAGTAAGTAATTGTGTAAAAGTACAGGTGATTGATTTTAGACGATTGTAGATTAAAAATATTGTTGTAAGTATGTGGTTGTTGATAGAATGATAGTCTTATCATGTGGCCTATCTAAGCCACACCCAGTTCAACCTGTATTGATAACTTAAATGGTATCATTAGTGTAATTACCTTGAATAACCTCTAATCTAAATGCATTCAGACATTATCACATGACTTGCTATATTTAGCACTACAATAACATCTAGAATCTTCCTTATAAAGTATACATATGTGGCAAGTGTTATAGACACATTCATGATATGTAAAGTAATAATTACACTGCTTAATTCAATATATTTCAATTGAAACAAATTTTTATTAATGAGCCACATTAGAAATAAGAAGCAAAGCTTATTTTATAATTATGACCATGAATATCATGAATAAAATTTTAATTAAGGGATATTGTGAAATATCAGAATATTTATTATGTATGTAAATGGTTGCATATTAGGTTGTGTATAGAGTATGGTTTCTATTGAATGTATACATGTGATAATACATATTTTATTCAAAACACATAATGACTGTTTACTTATCATACCTGGTATTACAAACAAAATGTATGTAAGTATAGGGGATCATTGAAAATTAAATCATTAGACTTGTTCTATACATTATCATGTAAAAAATAAAGGTTTCCAATTTCTGGTTTTAAGTAAATGATTTAATCCACAAATGTTTAAATTATTTCAATATTATTATCACCTGCTTAACACAGGAATTCCATCTCATAATCCACCAGTGTTTACATACATATATGGTGGCTATTTATATTCTTGTTTCTTTCTAACTTAAATATTATTTTTTTTAAATTTTTGCTGCACTTACTGGCTTTATTACATTTGCCATACAGGAAACATTCAAGTATTATATGAAGCAAATTTTGATTTTATTTCCCCCCTATGTAATACACTGTAGCATTTTTCTTGACACCCCGCCCGCCTCTCAGTTGACAATTTTTACCTAAATGTCATAACACTAACGAATTTTTGTCAATGAAAACAAAAATTACATACTATCGAGGGATTCCTCATAAAATAAAAACGAAAAGTGTTGCCAACTTGGGAGATTTTCTTATCTAGTTTTTTAATATAAATAACCATTATTACATAATGCGTTGTTCGATCTCCCTCCTCCTTCCAAATTACGTTACTTAATATGTAAATGAAAGAGATAAATACTGAAATTATAATTTTATTCCAAAACAGCAAGTGTTGATTTATAATTATATATTTATCTTATTATTTAATTATATATTTTATATTAAATTTATTTTTCATGATGATATTTTTAAGACTTAAGTATTTCCGTTCGTATTGCCAGTTCGTTCTATTCACTACTTTAATATGAGAAGGGAAAGTGAGTAGAGAATAAAGGTGGGGGGAAAAGGGAGATAGGGAACAACTGAAATGTTTTACCGTAGTGATCCTGTTAGGTTAATCTCTATAGAGAACCATACTTCTTTATTACTGTTAAATTTGTCACAATACATTAACTAACTCTCTTAATTCTCGCCTATCATCCTTTACTTTTACACTAGTCCACTCTGGACTAACTTTTATAGGAGGAGCTACAGTATTTTACAAATTAAATGTAATGATATTTTCCATATACTTATAAAATAACCAAAGTTGTGTAGTGCTTTCAACATGTTCGTGCAGACTGCGGTACCGGATTTCTTAGCTGTTTTAAGAAAAAAAAAATAGCAAGTTTCCGTCACAGAATTGCAGATAGTAGTAATACTATTATTAAAGCTATCTGGAAATAGTTTGTAATAAAATATTGGCTTAATTTTAATCCAAATCATAAATGATATTATATATATATATATATATATATATATATATATAACAAACAACTTATACATACTTATATATATATGTACTTGATCATGTGACAACAGTATTTGAAATAAATTATTATTATTATAATATACTGACGGCTATCATTTCATCATCGTCCATTTAAAAATATCTCAAGTCATGTGACGCACTAGCATACGTGGAATTGTAACGACGGAATCTCATGGCCTCACTGTTAGCAATGCACTCTGAACATCGGGTAGTTCCGTAGTTCCCGCCGAAAACTATTGTGATTAATTTCTGGTAGTCACGTGGGCAAACCGAGTTGATTTTACTCTCACCTATTATTCATTAGTACCGTGCGTGTGGGAGTTATTTACATTTCCTTCCTACTTAAACCACACAAAATATAAGAACATCTAAATAGGTAGATCATAACATCATCCTCAGGGGGAAAGGAATTGTTAGTAATGGAGACTGAGAATCCCATTGTTAGCAATATACCCAACCAGGTCGACCTCCTCGCGGTTTTCCCTGGAAACTATCATGGTTAATTCCCGATGAATTCATCATGATGGGTTAACTGGCCTGTTTTCATCCTCATCGATCACCCTTCACTGGTGCTGCGCAGGCGGGGTTACCATACCATTTTCATCAAAAAAAAAACATGCATCCTCGCACTGGACCTGACCGCACGAGTTAATGGGAGGGACTGTTAGTAATGAGAATTTAACAGCTTCATTGCGGGGAAAAGGGATTTTTAGTAATGGGACTAGAGGCCCCATTGCTAACAACATACCTTATCAGGTCGATCTCCACGCCATTCCCCTGAAAACCATCTTGATTTTTTTTTTATAAATTCACCACTATGGGCCAATTGACCTGCTTTCATCCTCACCTATCATCCCTCACTGGCGCTCTGATAGTGTTTTTTTATTGGATGAAAATGGAGTGGTAACCCCGCCTGCGCAGCACCAGTGAAGGGTGATCGATGAGGATGAAAACAGGCCAGTTAACCCATCATGATGAATTCATCGGGAATTAACCATGACAGTTTCCAGGGAAAACCGTGAGGAGGTAAAAGCACTCACAGCGCGTCATCACGTGCAGGCCTCTTTTGGTCTTAACAGTACCTAAAAACTGAAAACAGGTTGACAAAAAAAAATCAATTTTATACTTTAGAAGCTTTTTATTTCTTAAAAAAATATGTGTACAATTTTCAAACATAATACGTACAAATTTTATATCACAAGCCATTTGCGCTATATTCTATGAATATTTAATTATTCAGAAATAATTTTCTTAAACACGTTGAAATATCAAAATGGACACATATTGTTACTTTTTATAATTTTAATTGAGACTAAATACTAAAGCTTTCACATTAAGTAGTATATTTACTTATAGGTATATAAAAAATGTGTAGGTATGTACAACAATATAAGAATAATGATGATAGATGGTCAGCAACATCCTGCTTGCCAAGCGTGGCAACTATGCGTGGAAATATCAAAATGGACACATATTGTTACTTTTTATAATTTTAATTGAGACTAAATACTAAAGCTTTCACATTAAGTAGTACATTTACTTATAGGTATATAAAAAATGTGTAGGTATGTACAACAATATAAGAATAATGATGATAGATGGTCAGCAACATCCTGCTTGCCAAGCGTGGCAACTACTGGCAAAACTCCCCAATAGGTGGCGCCTGTATTCAGCAGTAGACACTAAACGGTTGACATAATGATAACGATGGCATTAAATTTTATAGAAAATATGCATTAATGTTAATGATTTTTAATTAATAATTACATAACTCTTGTGCTACACGCCATGTTATCTTAACCCTTTGCAGTATAACCTAGTAACTCATAGATGATACCAATAATTCATTAACTTATCAATAACTTATATTGTAAATATAATAAACATATTATAAACACTATAAGATAAACAGACCATTTCCCTTAATTAAGTGTTAACCCTTCTTTGCATAACGGTGGAAATTTCCATCATAACATTGAATGTCCAAAAATTATATAAAACAAGTTCACTTTAAGTTGATCGTGTCTGCATACCTTTTTAATGTCCTTTGTAATGTGAATGTAAAAAAACATGGCTGTCAAATTTATTTTTTTAACCATTTTTCCTTTAATCTTGAACATGAATTATATCACCTCTATTTTCACCAATAAAAAAAAAAACATGCAAAGAAGGGCGTCGAGTCAGTAAAACAACCGCATCGCCGTATCCGCGACAGTGGATTTAATGTTAGCATTTTAATGTCGCAAATATGGCGACAACGGAGTGAAAAAAAATTTATTAAATGCAATTATGTAAAAAAAAAAAATTAATTATGTTCATAATAATAATAATAACATTAAGTTTGTAGACCAATTATATTACGTCTATACTCACTATTTTGGGGAAGGGATTGTTAGTAATGGGGATTAATAAATAACCCCATTGCTAGCAATACACCCTATCCGGTCGACCGTTGTTAGATTCGTCACGGTGGGCTAACTGACCTGGTTCATCATCACCTATCATCCCTCACTGATAACTCTGGTATACACTGGCGTATCATTCCATTATCATCCATTTAAAAAATACTCCCTACGGATCGGTTTTAGACATCTTTTCATTTTCAACGGATTTTCTCAATTTGAGACAGTCTTATTATTTATTTATTTAACTCTTTATTGCAACATAAACGAAAATATACAACGACAAGTGAATAATTTAAGTGAAATACAGTAACATAAATACAGATTGTAACATACACAAAGGTACAAAAGGTGGTCTTATCGCTAGGGCAATATCTTAATTAAATTAATTACTCCATAATTTACAGAGAAATGCCCATATAAATACATAAATATCAATAAATAACAGTTTTGATGCACAATAGCAATAGAATGTTGTTCTTACATTCCCTGTTAAGGAAACCCATAAGCAGTGGCGTAACAAGGGGTGGCAGAGCGGGCAAAATGGCACTGGCTTGCCTGAGGGCCCTCAGTTTGAGAGGTAGAATCGAATACTTATTTATTACATAAATTAGTAAAAAAAAAAAAAAAAAATTATTACTTTAAGAATTAGTGTATTTAACTCAATATTTTTATTAGCTCAAAAATATAAACTAATTATACAAACATATTAACAAAATTAAGAAAAACTATGTAACTTGTCCATTCTATCCATCGTAAATTCTTTCAATTCTGAATTTATTTATATAATGGGACCGTCCGATTCTGATGAATTTGCCACGGGCCCCAGACAGTTGTTACGCCACTGCCTGGGTGTTTTTATTTACCGTGGCACGTCACAGTATAAAATCAGGTTTACCTATAATTGTTTTGGGTTAAAGCTTAAAAATACTTTAGACATTGCAACTGAAAAACCACTATCCGTACAAAGAATGTTGCTATTTTAGCCCTCTCAAGACTAACTCTTAAATTATAAGCTGATGAAATGAAAAGTTCAAAAAGACTAGTACGGTAAGTAGTTTTAAATAATGCCCTTAAAAGCAAAATATTTGTTATGTAGTGTTAATTTAATTACGTAATCCTAATCCTACATGTATTTGATATATTTCTTAAGCCTCTCAGTATTAAAGAGCTAACTAAGCATAAGTACTCACATTTCGTCATAGTCGTAGAATACTGACGTATCTATATATGTAATATATGTCAGATCCGTCAGTATTCTACGACTATGACGAGTTCATTTTAGGTATCATACTATTATTAATAAATCTTTTATTTTCAGGTTACCATATTTTCAGGTTGCCATATTTTCAGGTTGCCATATTTTACAGTCATTGCGATTACAACTTACTTTTACATTATTTTCAAAATTAAATCATATTTAGTTATTTTACTTAGTATATATAACAACTAATATAAAAGAAATAACATATGTTAATCCATTGCCACTTATTTAACTATAGTTTCTTTAGAATTTCCATACTTACATACATATCTGTCACGCCTGTCTTCCTTAGGGTAGGCAGAAACAATGGAACGCCAAATGCTTCGATTCAAACAAACCTCTATCGCTTTTTCCACATTCATCAATTTCTTAATACACGCTCGCCGGTTACGGGTACTTTTAATTTGGCCCTTCTTCAGCACGTCGCCATACATATTTGGTCGACATACGTCCGTCTAGGGCGGCCCCTACCGACATCTCTATATTCTTGCTCGATAAATCTCTTTCGTAATTCTTTTTTCATCCATCCTCTCCAAATGGCCAAACCAACGCAACATTCCTTTTTCGAACTTCAACAATAATTGTGATTTATTTTACTATACTTGTTCACTCTTGATACGTCAGGGAAGTCCGCTCTGTTCAACAGTTGGACCAGAAGTGTCTCCCCACCCAAATAACAATCTTTTATATCTACAGGGCCGAATTCGAGTGAACAAGTCAGCGTGACCACGTGTTCTTACAATTTCATTACTTTTTATTCAAGTATCATGGTAATAAATAAATATAAAATCAATTAAAATATAAATGAATGTATTATTTATACAAACTACAAGAATAATTTATTACTAAATTTGGTATAATAACAATTTTAACATTTTATTATTTTTAAAGTGTTACTCTGATTTTTTAACACATATTTTGACACAAGATGTTTAAGAAAATTAATATAATTAAAAAAAAATATCTAAACCGCTCATAAAATTTATTATTTTTGAGATTTTTCAGACTTTTGGGATAAACTAAATATGTAGTTATTACAAACTATGAATTTATGGAGAACATATAGTCCAAAATATATAATTATAGTCCAAAAGATTGATATTACAGGATTATTATACCCCTTATATAGAACTAAAATATAAATCACATACAGGTCTTCTATTAAAAACGGCAACTATTTCATATTCGAAATTTTTTAAATACTTTTCTAGTTTTTTTAATTTCAGTTGCAGTGCGATGTACAAGGTTTAAGTTTTACTTAGCTTGCAGAGATTTTTTTAGATTTCAATGAAAAATGTTGAATTGTTTTTTAAAATTGATAAATATATGTGGTGTTGCCACATTTGGTAAGCTAAAGCTCTTAAGGCTAAATGCCAACCCATACCCAATACCACTTTTGTACAAAGTCTCCCTAATAATATAGTAATTTTCTAAATTACAAAGATAAAGTATAAAATATTTTTTGACAGTTTATGACCCTCTTTTAATATATAGAACTGCAACAATTGATTCGAATATATTCAATTAATTACTCAGATAACTCTTATTTCAAGAACGCGCATTTACAACGCCATAGTGGATGAAAAAGTAAATTGTATTTGTATTAATTCAAAACAATTCACAATTCATTCTAGTTACTGACTGAGTTTTGTTTGATGGAAACACGCCGTATGCAATTTTTTTTATACTACTACGGTTGAAAACAAGCATACGGCCTGTCTGATGGTAAACGGGGTTACCGTAGACTATAGACACGCCTGTAACACCGGGGACGTCCCGCGCACACGAGCCCCAAGTGTTGTACAATACACATCAGAATGAAAGAAAGTAAATTTAATGCGGTACGCGAATGTAACCTGAGATTGCGTATAGTTAATTACAAAATAGTTCTTTGTCGAAGGCGAACAGACAGAGATTCACTCTCCTATAATATATGTTGTATAATCAATAATATTTTTGACTAAAATAACAGTAAAATGTACCTAACCTAAACTAAACGGGGGGGGGGGGGGAAGGGATTGTTAGTAATGGAGACTGAGAATCCCATTGCTAGCATTATACCCAACCAGGTCGACCTCCTCGCGGTTCCCCGTGGAAACTATCATGGTTAATTCATTATTTTTATATTTATTATACCTAAATTATTATTATTTTGAGGTATTTATTGTTATATTTAAAAATACTATTCATATTTATACATTTATTAATATTTCTAAGTTACAAAATGTATTAGAGGCGACATATTTCTTTTTTTACATTTACCAGAGAGCATCACTCTATATGCATCAAACATAGACTAATAAAGTTGTCATATTATGTGTGAACACAGAAATGTGTGGATTGCTTTCTCAACAGAAAGATTATAATAATTAAAATACTCTAAATAAGACCGGATCCACACTATAGTGCCCCCCACCCCACCCCCCTATCCTCAGTCGGTATTAATACATAATAAAAAAAAAATAAAATTGATCAGAGCAGGACTAGACTGTAGTATGAATACATTAAATGCTTCTTACATAATATTTCATAGTTGGCCCTCAGTTCTTTTTGGAGCAGTAGCTCTATTGGGTCCGCGGGTATGGGTAGTTCTCCAGACACACCGATTCTGGTGGCTCAGTGGTTTTCCATCAGTCTGTACTTAACTAGTTGGTCTACATTCATCCACTTTCGCATAAAAAATATGTTTCGTCCAGTGTTGCCAGATTGGGTATTTTCATTTTGCAATTTTGGGTAAAAAATTGTGTTCGCAAAAATTTGGACCAATAAAATTGTTGGAGAAATCTTTGGAGTACAGTGAATTGGTTTAGTGAAATTTGGACAATTATATTTCACAGTTTTGGTACTTGTAAACATTATAGTGGTATGTAAACACAATAAAATATATGAATAAAATTCTCCCCTCCTTTACCATGTCGTAAGAAGCGACTAAGGTAAATGGTCGATGGATGGGCAGCAGTGCCCGTAATAAAACATCAACAAAGTTTAGCTACGGTTGCCAAACTGCCTGTAAAGTAAAGCGTGACGACTAATGGCAACTCCTTACCCCTAATGCGAGTGGCCGGGAAAAAAAAGGATTGTTAGCAATGGGATGTAACTGCCTTATTGCTAGCAATACACCCTATCAGATCAACCTCCACGTAGCTCCCCCCCAGAAACCGTCGTGGTTAATTCTAATGGAATTCGTCACGATGGGCTAATTGACATGCTTTCATTGTCACCTCATCATCCCTCACTGGTGCCCAGCCAGCGTATACCGATAGCGCAAGCGGGGTTACCATTTCATTATCATCACCCATTCAAAAAGGAAAATTACGTGTCTATGTTCAGCTGAAATTTAACGAATCTGATATAGATATGACAGAGCGTTTTTTAATTTCGTCATTCGCAGTGTGGATAGGATAAAACAAAGTGATAAATGAAACAAGTATGTGATTTAGTAAAAGAGATGAAAATTATATGGGTTTGGAGAAAAAACATTGGACAGTTGGGTAAAAATCATAAATTGCATCTGGCAACCCTGGTTTTGTCACCATCTATCATCATCAATATACTCCTGACACGTCCGAACCAACTTGACCTGCTAATTGTCATCCCTACACCAGACCCTTTCCTTCGAACAAATTCGTTCACGCGCTACTGCGTTATGTCTGCTTGTTGGCCTCACCCTGCGATCTCTTCGCGGTATTTCGAACGCATTTATTTTACTTTCTTTCTTTGTGATGTGTTTTTGCAGTACAGTTATAAAGGTGAATATAGAAAAATGTCGTGCACATGTTAGCTGTAAATATAGTAAAGCAGCAAGGACAATAGTGAATCTATTAGACGATAGATGGCGTTTATATCTAAATAGCCATCGGCTCGCAGGCGGCGACACGTAGCCGCACTCGTTTACAATGAGTGCTGAAGGAAAGCCGTATATTTTTGTAGTGGCAGTACCACTGCCATAGTTTACGCACTTATACAGGATTATCGCTTTTATTACTTTTATTGTTTTTAGCAAAAGATAGAAATACTTCCTCCAGCGTCGTTTCCGTGATGGAGTAATCCTCGATGATCGGGCAGCTACTTTTCAATTGTTCTAGTTGATCGAACAGTTCGCTGTAGTTCCTCGTTTCGGTTATACGGTACCGGAGCATCGTCTGTGGACAGTATTAACAAGTTTTAGTAAATAAATAAATATTGTTAACTTAATTGATAACAAAAGCAGGGGCAAAGTAAGACCTAATTTGGGTGTGGGTAAAATATGTGCTGCGGGATGAATTGATACGATGAGGTTGGTAGTAATATTATATATATTTTAACTGATTAACAATTGACTGACAACTGAACATTCTCATCACATTAGGTTTTAACTGTCCACTGCTGAACATAAGCCTCGTCCTTGGGGGGTTTGCCAGTAGTTGCTACGCTTGGCAGACGTGTTGGCAACCGCAGTTTGGCTTTTGGTGATGTTTTAGGAGGGACGCTGTTGATTCTTTCAACATAAGCTTCCTAAGTCGCCTTTACGACACCCACTGGAAAGGAAGGGGTGGCCTATTCTATGCTGGGACCACACGGCAAGCTATGATAATAATCTTGTAAAATATTTATTTCAATTCTATGACTTGTATAAAAATAACGAGTTGCTAGTATAAAAAAATAACAATTTTACCTTATGCTCGTCTGTCGGTACATTATCGCTGAATAATGCTCCTAATTTTTCTTTCAAATTGTTCACTTCGCGTCCATCCGTTTCTGTAATACAAAAGTATGTATAATTTTTTTTTTTTTATTATGACACTTCAAATGTCCACATCAATCTGAGACAACATGGTCTGTGAATACGGTCAACCGAAAAGAGAACATTCCACTCTCAATGGTTGACAGCACTATGGTAGCTCACTACGTGCTTTTACTACTTACTCTGTAATTTTGTGTAGTCTGTGTCATTAATGTCAAAATGTCATTTTGTCAGTAATGACAAAATGTGTAAAAGCAGCTTTTGTAATGTTACCACATTATTGTATCCCATTTTTAGCTAGAAATTTCATTCGTTCACAGAATTTAATTAAATTATAGCCAAATTTTAATTGTGAATTGTGATTATCACAGAAATCTAAAAATCATATACAAATAAAAAAATCTACCAAAGGGAGACTTTGTACAAAAGGGTGCTTGGGTACCTTTGTCCCATTCGTGTTTCTATCGTGAAGCAGTTGTATTTGCATGGCTGTATTGCGGTTTTAAGGGTGGAATATGGTAGTGAATTTACAGGGTACAGAGGAATAACACCTGAATCCTCAGGAATGGCAACGCATGGGGGGTATCATGGGCTTATACAGTATACGCTGTTACGTCCACGGTACTGCTCATATTTATAGGCGACAATTACCACTTTCTATAAGGTGGACCGTCAGCTTGTTTGCCATTCTAAGTTGTATAAAAAAAAAACCACTCTAAAATGAATAACGAATCGAAACAATCAATTAATTAATCGATTTTCAATTCGTACTATTACATATAATTCGGTTGTCTTAGTCGGGTCATATATGCGTTTCTTTACATTTTTATCAACTTCCAATTATATATACTATAATACTTTGTGGTACCAAAACAGGCAGACATTTTTGTGAACAAAAAAAAATTCAAAAACATATAAATTTTTAATATAAATATATTTTTAAAGCAGTGGAAGCATTCATGCTATTTATTTACTATACTGATAGCTACTTAGGATCATATACATGTAGTTAAATGGAACATACAGTGTAAGTCTCAACAAAGCACACTAAAAACGCACACACACACAAAAAGCACACTATTCACGCACACATCGCCCGATCACGGATGTGGGATCTGAGGGCTTACCATGAAATATTTTCCGAAATTTCGGAGGCGAACGAAATAGAAATTTTATGTTAGAATTACATAATACATGCCGCTTAAAATTATTAAAAATATTAAAATATCGTTCCTCTGGACTATTAGAATAGGATTTATGATGTAAGAAACGTTAAGCTCCATTTACAGGGTCGATTTAGGTACGAACAAAAACACTAAATTGAGCCCGAAAATTTGGAATTTCATTTCATGGTAGTTTAGTCTTAGATCGGTGTTTCTCAACATTGGCGTCCACGCAATTTGATAGTTAAGGGGGGGGGGGGGGCAATTAAATGCTACGAGTAGATATCGATACCACATTTAACAAAAAAAAGTAAATCAAAAAAGTGCTGTAAATATTTATTAGGCATAACTCAAGGTCAACTGGGCGATTACAGTAGTCAAGTAAACTTTGTCGGGAAAAATTATGTATGGGGGCAACTAAATTTTAGAAATGTTCAAGTGGGGCAAGGCACAAAAAAGGTTGGGAAACACTGTCTTAGATAGTACACTATTGTACACGAAAGATGGCTAGGTTCATGGGTAATTACGAAAAAAAAAAACACAACGCGTCAACGTCAGATACGTAACTACTGTGTATTTAAAACATTCTGAGGTCCACGTGGACTGTGTCATGGACCCGCCAATGAAATAACGGCGCGAACAATGTGTGATTCGCGCTTTGAGATTGATCATAGGTTATGCGACGCGCTATGATCAAAGATATGTTATGCCGTTATGACTACAGCGGTAACGTTGCTTTTTTACGCAGAGTGAAAAATTATTAACCCTTCTTTGCATGATTTTTTTTATTGGTGAAATAAATCAAGGTGATATAATTCATGTTCAAAATTAAAGGAAAAATGGTTAAAAAAATAAATTTGACAGCTACGTTTTTTTTTCTGCAATGGACATTAAAAAGGTATCCATACACGATCAACTTAAAGTGAACTTGTTGTTTTATATAATTTTTGGACATTCAATGTTATAATGGAAATTTCAGCAAAGAAGAGTTAAGAATTTTTTTTTGTATGAAAAATTTTATAATATTTGGGTCACGAAATTCTATTATTATTGGTAACGTATATGTGTAATACTACAATCCCCTTAAAGGGAATGCATATAATTTGGTAACACCTTATATATTTGACACTTAGATTATATAAATAGAGCTTCAAAAATGGGTTAACTTTTTGTCAGCTAATTGTTAAATTGGCTGACCCGTTTTTTTAACAGTATTCTGTATACTTAAAATGTATTTTGACGTATTATTTAAAAATCAGTGTTTACGCATTAAAAAGGTGCAGAAATTATAAGACAAAATAAATATAGAAGTTATAAAGTAATCAATCATAATTATTTATCACGCAAAATTGTATGAAAAAATTTACCCGTTTTTCTAGAAGCATTTCTATGGAGATTTCCTATATAATTTGATTATACAGTTTTTACATTAGATTTGACAGTGTAAACCAACAACCATATAGCTCAGGACTTACGGCAAGCATGATCATGTGGTTACAGCGTGCGGTAGTGCTAAGTGGTTGTCTCACCGTCACTGTGTTTATTCAGTAGCGAGGAGTCCTCACCATCTGCGTCGCTGATGGTGGCGGTGGTGGCGGCGGCAGCGGCGTCGGGGCGTAGCTTCAGCACGAGCGTGTGTCCGGTGGCGTGCGAGGCCCGCAGCCCGGTCGGCGTGTCCAGTGCCTTCAGCGTCCCTTCCGACATGATGCCGATGCGGTCGCACAGCGCTTCCATCTCGTCCATGCTGCGGGTAGTAATTATAGTTTAGCATATTTTACGTAAACGAATTTAATGTTGGCAAATTAGTATTGGATCGTCGTGGTATGAGTACTAATAAACTCTTATACTCAGCATGTTGTCGAACGTTTAGTGGCCGCGGCCGGCGTGGCGCGGCGCGTGTACAGTGTACAGTGTACAGTGTGCAGCGTGCACCTGTGCGAGGTGACGAGCAGGGCGCGGTGCGTGTACAGTGTACAGTGTACAGTGTACAGTGTGCAGCGTGCACCTGTGCGAGGTGACGAGCAGGGCGCGGTGCGTGTACAGTGTACAGTGTACAGTGTACAGTGTACAGTGTACAGTGTACAGTGTACAGTGTACAGTGTACAGTGTACAGTGTGCAGCGTGCACCTGTGCGAGGTGACGAGCAGGGCGCGGTGCGTGTACAGTGTACAGTGTACAGTGTACAGTGTGCAGCGTGCACCTGTGCGAGGTGACGAGCAGGGCGCGGCGGCGCGCGAGGGCGCGGCGCAGGGCGCGGTGCAGGCGGCGGCGCGCGGCGGGGTCCACGCCGGCGCTGGGCTCGTCCAGCAGCGCCAGCGGTGCGCCGCCTGCCAACGTTGCCGCTGCGCCTAGACGTCGTACGCACCCGCCGCTGTACATCGACACCGCCACGTCCGCGTACTTCGACAGCCCTGCCATAGCAGAGAGAAATGAGTAGTTAGTAGTGGGTTCCGACAGTCCCGTTGCCAGTAATATCCTATCAAGTAAACTTCCATGCGATTCTCCCTGGAAACGGTCGTGGATAATTCTTATCGAATTTTTCATAATGGGCCACCTGACCTTTCTTCATCCTCACCTATCGTCTATCACTGGTGCTCTATCAACGTATACTGATACTACACAGACAGGGTTACCATTCTATTTTTAACCATTAAAAAAACAAAGTTTCGCTCTTTCGAACCAAAGGCAAACGGAGCAAGATTTCTATGGCATCCCCTTCGCTCAATGTCAGCTCCTGCAACATCAGGGAAATACACTCCAATCTAAACGGTGCCCACCGCCACCTTGAAACACCGCGGTTAGCATTAGAACCACAGATATCCAGAAGACAGAGCATATTGGTAGAATTGGCAAGAGATTGGCTAGTTTACCTTCGAGATCTCGAGCTTTCTGGTCTCTTGCCAAAGCTGCACAAGGGAATTTCTGTCAGTCATCTTTTCCACCATTACGCAGGGAGGATGATTTGGTGGCTCTGAACGCCAAAGGAAAGGTCGATCTCCTAGGATCCCTTTTTGCGTCAAACTTGACGTTGGACGACGAGGAGAAACCTGCGCCGACCATCCCGCGTTGTGAGAGCTCTATGCCGAATGTCAAATTCACGCAAAGATCAGTGCGTAAAGCACTTCTCTCCTTTGAAATCCATAAGTTGAATGGGTCCGATGGTATTCCTCCAATTGTGCTTAGGACTTGCGAACCAGAGTTGGTTTCGGTTCTTACACGTCTTTTTCGGCTCTGTTACTCATCACGTATAGTCCCAAAGTTTTGGAAGACTGCCCTGGTACATCCGATCCCTATAAAGGAGATCGCTCAGATCCAGCTAACTATATGCCCATAGCTATCACTTTCTTATTCTCAAAAGTCATAGAATCAATCATTAACCATCAACTGCTCCGGTACCTAGAAGATAACCGGCTGATCAGTACTGCTTTCGCTAGGGACGTTCGGCTAGTGATTTTTTGGTTTATTTAACACACCGATGGGCAGTGGCAATCGAGAATAAGGAGAGCTTTAGTTATTAGTCTGGATATTGCGAAAGCCTTTGATCGGGTGTAGCATAAAGCGCTTATTTCAATACTACCTTTGTTTGGGTTGCCTGCAAGATTATGCAATTGGGTCGCCAGTTTTCTCAAGGATCGTAACATTAAGGTCGTAGTCGACGGAGAATGCTCTGATTTAAAACCTGTGAATGCTGGTGTCCCGCAAGGCTGTGTACTATCTCCGAACCTGTTTCTTTTGCATCAATGATATGTTACAGATCAGTAATATTCATTACTTTGCAGACGACAGTACAGGAGATGCATTATACACTGGTCATGCAAAGATCTCGCGGGCATATAACGATGAGCTACGGAACAGACTTGTGTCTGAAATCGAAACTTCACTTGATCAAGTTTCGATCTGGGGCGAACGCAATCTTGTACAATTCAACTCTAAGAAGACATAAGTCTGCGCGTTCACCGCAAAAAAGACGCCGTTTGTCGTATCTCCTCACTTTCAGGGCACTTTCCTCGATAATAAGTCGAGTCTAAGGGTTCTTGGCGTCAATATATCTAGCGAAATCCTTATTTTGCGGGCATCTGGAGGGAAAAACTAACATAGCTTCCAAAAAGTTAGGAGTGCTCAATAGAGTGAGACGGTATTTCACGCCGGAACACTGCCTGAAATTGTATAAAGCTCAAGTCAGGCCACATACGGAATACTGTTCTCATCTATAGGCAGGAGTGCCCTAGTACCAGCTCCTTCCGTTATACCACATTCAAAGTCGGGCAGCTTGAATTGTTGACGATCGGCGCCTTACTGTCCGACTCGACCCATTAAAACTGCGTAGAGATGTTGCATCTCTGTGCATCTTCTACCGAATTTATCATGGGGAGTGCTCTAAGAAATAGTGCGGATTGATACCTGCTTCTGATTTTCACCATCGTACAACCCGCCACAAACTAAAATTTCATCCCAACCATTTGCACGAGTGGCGGTCTTCCACCGTGCGTTTTTTAAGGCACTTTCTTCCACGCACAATCACTCTTTGAAATCAACTCCAGCAGCAAGTTTTCAGAACTGACACGACATCATAAACTTCAAGAAAAGAGTATATTCGTTTTTAAAAGGAAGGCAACACATCTGCAATGCCGTTTGTTTTGTGGGTGATCATGGACGGCGGTGGTCACACCATCAGGTGAGCTGCATGCTTGGCAAACGAGCATGCGGCTCACCTGCGTTGTAAAAAAACGGTAGAAACGAATTACACAGAGGTTTGGGCACCTCTTTTGTACAAAGTCTCCCTCTGGTGAGTTGCCCATTCTATGCCGATATCACACGGCAATAAATAATATACATACCGACAATATCAATCCAGTGTTGGACCTCTCGCTCTATATCGTCGTCGTTGAATCCACGGAGAATGAGTAGCAGCTCCAAGTTCTCCCTACCGGTGAGGAACTCGTCCAGTCCAAAGAATTGTGGGCAGTAACTCAGTTGTTGCGACGGCTGTAGAATAGAAAAATAATTGTTGTTCAGCAATTATATATGTAATTCTATTAATATCATAAATGTGAAAGTTTGTAACGATGGATGTTTGTTACTCTTTCACATAATTACTGAACGAATTTTAATGAAATTTGGTACATGAGGTTATATCTTAACTTAGCACATAATGGTACTTGATAAACTGATTCACGCGTTTTTTTAATGCATTTTATAATGGGAAAATAGACGAGCAAGACTTTGTACAAAAGTCGATTGCTTGGGTACCTCCGTCCTATTCGTGTTTCTACCGTGAAGCAGTTGTGTTTGCATGGCTGTGTTTCGGTTTGAAGGGTGGGATATGGCGTGAATTTACGGGGTACAAAGGAATAACATCCGAGTCCTCAAGAATGGCAACGTATGGGGGCGTATCATGGGCAAAACAGTATACTCTGTTATATCCATGGTACTGCTCATGTCTATAGGCGACGGTTACCACTTTCCATCAGGTGGGCCGCTAGCTTGTTTGGTATTCTATGTTGTATAAAAAAAAAAAAACAAAAGCACAATAACTTCACAGTTGAAACACGAAAGGGACAGAGGTACTAAAGTAAACGAGTTTTGTACAAAGTCTCATCTCTGGTCAAAGTCAAGGTCATCGTTTATAATAAGTTTTAGAGTGCTGTTGGGGTTTCCTCGCTTTTGTAGCGGCTCTAGCATGTTTGCTCAATCTAGCGTAGATGATTACTACGCTATAAGGAGGAAAAAAAAAAACTGCATCATTGCTACACAAGGGTTAGGACAAGCAACAACAGCATTCTGAAAGTAAAGCGAGACATATAACTCGCCTATAATTAGGCATTCCATTCAGATGCTGTTCTAGTCGGCTGGATCACATCTGAGTGAATTAGTTTAGTTAAATGTTCACTTTAATTGCTTTTCTTTTTTTACTAACATAGTTTGTAAGGAAATTGTTACTAACAAAATGGACCAAATTATGGTCTGAATAACGAAGTATTATTAGTACTAACTCTGGAGAGTGAAGATACAGCCAGTTCTATATATATGTGGGCGTCCTGGCAGACATTGTTTTGACCCCTTATCGTTATAAAAACTATCCTATGTTCAAGTTGGAGCAAGCAATACAAATTTATAAAAATACATTTAAATGGGTTAAGCGTTTTCGAAGGTTAACGTGAATAAACATCGTGACACGTATTTTTAATTACGACAATCGTTATTGTAAATGAAAGAAATAAAAAAAAAAAAATAGATGCAATATTCAGACAGATAGTGTTCGATTCTGGTTTAGATATCCCTAGTTTTTTTAATGGATGTTAGAGTAACCCCACCTGCTGCAGGCGGGCAAGTTCATTAGCCCATTGTGGTGAATACACCTGAAATTCAACACGACGGTTTCCAGGGGAATGCGGGAGTTGGACCTCACAGAATATAGTAGTAGCAATAGGAATCCCAAAGTTGAATCCCCAGCCTCCGAGGTTTCAAATCTAGTTTGAAAAAAATATATTCTAGCTATAAAAAAATATATTCAATAATATATAAAATAAAATATTAAATGAGACAAAGATTATTGTCAGTGATTTGAATAAATTAAGAAGAAAAAAGAGTGCCTGTGGAAAAAAAAAAGAAAATAATAAAGCAAGAAAACCGGAGAGAGTCTAGATAATGAAAACCTAACCAGTTTTTCTGTTTACTGTGCATTTGTGAATAGATAATGGCAAATTTAGAACTTAATAAAATTTAATTTAGTACCAAATTTTGTTGAAATTTTATTTATTTAACTTTAATACACCTAGAAAGTGTAAATGGTGGACTTAACTATAACGTTATCAACCAGTCGACAGTAAACAGAAATAACAGAAAATACAAGTGACGGTGCAAAGTGATAAGCAATATTAAAAACAGTAATTAAAAAATAACAAACATATTATATTACCTACATTATACATATGTACCTACTTTACATTATGCATACATACATACATACATACATACATATATATATATATATATATATATATATATATATATATACATATATATAATTATATAACAAATAATATTGAACGAAAAATAATTCGGATACAAGGAAACGTCAGCATCAGACAAAGTAAAATGATTAGGTACGAATTTACTATTACATAAATAATATTTTATTGTAATAAATTAAATTAAATAAAACAAACAGAAACATGTAAACAACTAATCATTTTTTGGGTTAATCAAATTAGGTGATGAGAAATGTTATGAGACATAAAAGGCGAGGACTCGGTATAGGCAATATTGAAATGGACGATGGACCCTTTTCTAGGAATCCAAAATTGTAATAATAATATATTTATGTCTCCTCACAAACAAATTAGATTTACACATGTGTTATTTAGGATAAAATAGATTTAATAATACGGAACACTGCTTTCTGTGTGGAAATATAAATATTGTACCCCGTGAACCCGACATGAGCGATGTCGAATCGGGTGTGAGCAACATTGAAAGGTGCACTGATAAAAGCGTGACCAGAGGTGTCAAGTACACAAAGACCGACCCTGAGTGCAACAAGAATAGTTAAAAAGTCGTATACTGTACCTGAGTAGACCACCGTGAGAGCGGGGTGTGACCGATTCGTACTTGGCCGTGAGATACGCACTCTTCGGCCGACAACATCTTGAAGGTCGTCGACTTGCCAGCACCGTTCACACCCAGCAACCCGAAGCACTTACCTGTATACACGCACTTGGGTCAAACATGAAACTAGCAGAAACCAAGCTCAAGTTACGTGGATTAAAAAATAAAAACCGGTCAGGTGCGAGTTGAACTTACACGCCCTGGGTTCTGTAGATAGATATGATATAAAATTACCTTTATGTGTCTCTTATATGAATAGACACCTAAAAGTTATTAAAATTGATATTTCAATATGTAATTTTAAGTTATAATTGTGAATAAAATTTAGACTTATTTTTTGTTTTTGTTTTTGATATTTTTTTCAAAACTAATAAAAACTCACTTTTATTCCTTCTGTAATATTCACATATATTTTAACAAAGTATAGTTATTTCAAGGTTTTGGCTTTACAAACTCTGGAGATAAAGAGAGAAGATGTTACTTTTGTCACATTTTTAAAGACAAGTAAAAAAAATTAAGTGACATAAAAACATTTTAAAAATAGATAAAGAACGTAAAAAGCTATTTTATATGATACGTTACTTGTATTAGAAGGATATTTTTTTGAAATTTTGAATTGAATTTGATTAATAATAATAATTTAATGGTATTATATTACACATTTAAAACAATAAATCTTCCCCTTTGGACACCATGCTTAATTTGATCAACATTTTAAATTTTACATGCCTAATTATTAATATATACCTATATTTATTGTTAACATCCATATATTTACCAGATTTTTTGTAAATAAATAGTTATTCATTAAATTAATACATTCAAATTATTTTTTAATAATAATAATAATAAATAAAAAAAAAACCATTACATCAAGAATTTACTCGGCAATTTCCAGAAATGAATGTTTCACAGGAATTGTAAGCGATGCACCTCGCACCTCGTAAAATGTTATAATTGTAACCACTAGCGCCATCTGTTAGCATTTGATTGAATTAATGCCGGCGCGCATGCGCCAAACGATTGTCCTGTGACACGTGTGTGCACGAGCAGTTAGTTGTTGTTTTGCTATGTTTTGGAAATTAATTAAAAAAGTGTCTTGCAAGCGTCCGTTTCATTTTGATAACTACACCGTAACCATAAAAACATTTTCCAACAACGGTCTGTTACAGGAATCATACCCAAAAATCTTCACAAGTATTTAGATATGTTACAAATTCCTACCTATATAATAGATTTGCTGCAGAAAGCGGTCATCCTCAATACCTGCCGCATAGTCGGAAAATTTCTTTCCTCATCATTGTCATCGTCCTCATATATAATTTAAAGTCAACCATTGCTAGGCTAAGGCCCGCATGGTTGAACATTTACCCCCATAAAAAGGGAGATGTTAAATACAATATATATTTAAATAATAATAATAAATTTATTGCATAACCATGATTGTAACAAACTCAGTACTGGAAATTACAGTAAAAGTAGGCACGAATTCATTTGTACATTTGGCTCAGTTTAAACATCTGTGTCTGAACTAGGTTATAAAACCTGTATCTCAGACGACAGCGCACAACCCTCATTACATAGTATAATATTAGTTCAGCTAAATTTTTAGTTCTACATATAGAATGTTGATTTTATATAAAGTTAATTCATCTAATTATAACTATTGGTAATAATGAAATTTGTGAAATAATGTGCTCCCTGTGTGTAGAGTGTAATTTGAATGTATGTGTGTTGGGAGAGTGTGTAAAATTATTTGTATGTTTACTGTAATATTATTTAAATAATTTTGGAAGTTCATCTTGAATTTAATTGTACAACATTATTTTAATTTATGTATCTATTTAGTAGTATTTAGTATTAATTATATTTTTATTATATTTCATTTTTTAATAAATTTTCCGTCTCATCGTAGTTCTTTTCTTTCAACCAGTCTACAACTCTGTACTTACGTATCCTTTCTATTTAAAGGATATATATTAAGAATTCTATTAAGTTTATTATATAAATGCGGACCAAGGTAACAAAAGAATCTATTGTATTGTATTGTATTGTAAAATCTTTATTGTACATAATTCAAATTAAGCACTGATAAATGATTTAATATACAATGGCGGACTTATCCCATAAAGGGATCATCTATTTGTGAAGATATGTTTAAATGCTGGGATTGTACATACTTTATCACTGCGTCTTTTTTGACATTGTTATTATTGAATGGATTAAATATTAATAATTGTTATTTAGTAATGGTGGTGGTATGGTACCAGCGTTACCAGCTGACAGCGTATATGGGTGCACCAGTGCTCGGGGCCCCAGTGGATGTAGTAGTTATATACGATGGTTTTCAGGCGCATTGCTAGCAACGGGGCCGCTAGTCCCCGTTACCAACAATTGCAGTTAACAAACCTTTCTCGACAACGAAGCTGATGCCCTTGACCGCGTGACAGGATCGTCCAATGGTCTTGGGATATCTCTTGTGGATGCTGTACACGACTATTGCTTTATCCGAATGTTCTGTAAAAAAAAACAATGAAGTCACAAAACTGTAAAACTCGTCACACAATATACAGGGTATAAGGGATAGGTTGTCAAAAATTGAAACAGTGAATTCAGACCTTTATTCTGAACTGAAAACCAATGGAAATTCTTTCGAAAAAATTGCAAATTTTTCTCCTGTTTTCTTCATTTAAAATCTATGATATTATGTTACACGTGTAATATAAAGAAATAATAACATTTTCTGGTGAAATAATATGAAATACCAAAAAACAGTAACAAAGTCAAAGCTGTACAATATAGATATTTCTTACTTCTATTGTTGTTCTTATATTGTTCGAGTACATCATTACCATATTAGCTTTTACCTGCCTGAACATAAACCTCCCCCTTGAGGGGGTTTGTCAATAGTTGCCACTTGGCAGGCGGGTTGGCAACCGCAGTTAGGCTTTGGTGATGTTTTAAGAGGGACGCTACTGCCCATCCCCCGACCATTAAATTCCCTTGACTGTTTGAGTACACTTACGATTATTTATGAGGTTGGAGGCAGTCACCTCCTCTGCTCTGACTTTCGGATCTAGTTCGGCCTCGTCTCCCGTATAGGTCGTGAAATAGGTCCGCCAGTTGAATAGCCTGTCTTTCAATATGTTGAAGAGTCCATACTCCATGGCGAGCACTAGAGACTGGAAACATAAACGAATATAAAATCCTGCTACCTTCGATTAAATAGTTATTTTTTAATGGATGTTAATGGAATGGTAACCCCGCACTGGTGAAACACCCGTGAGGGATGTAGGTGAGGATGAAAAGGCAGGTCAGTTAGCCCATCGTAATGGATACACTTGGGATTCAGCACGAGTTTCCAGCGTGGATATTGACCTGACAGGGTATATTGCTAGCAATGGGAGTGGTAGTCCGCATTACTAACTATCCCTTCCCCCCATATAGATAGAGTTACGAGTGTAATATTCTGTTAGTTACATGTCAACATTTTGTTAGCTAAATTGACTTTTGGCTGACTCAATTTGTAATTTTTTTTTAATTAAAACAAAGCTCGTCTCATTTTTCAATGTTGCAAGTAATTGGATTAAAAATTTCCCGGATCACGTCGATTTTTTAAATTGGAATTAATAGTACATTACTGCAGCGGCCAGCAACTGAGGCATTGATGGACGAACGTGCAAATGTAGGCCGAGGCGTAGCCGAGGCACACATACGTGAGCCCATCAATGCCTAGTTGTCGTCAAGGCTTGTATAGTACTTTTCTCAAACAATGCGCGGAAATCAAAAACACAACTTTACTTTTTAAGTTCAATGAAGAATAAAGAACAATAATAATTTTTCACGCGCCATAATATTCCTTTGTTTTTCATTTAATAAACAGCTTTCTATTTGCAAGCCAGTTCGAAATTTAAATAAAACCTTTTATTAGTTACCTCCTTGGTAGCCATGTTTCGAAATAAAAGGTTATTCCATTTTTAAATTACAAGACAGATATAGGTTTACATAGTAATTTATCTGGCCAGTACGGCAATTTTGATTTATCTCCAAGAAGATTGTCAAAATAATGCTCACATTTCCAGGCATGTTTGAGAAAAATATATTTTTCTGATATAATACATATGACAGCATCATTATATCAGCCGTTATCTGCCCACAGCTGAGCATAGTCCTCCCCCATAGTCTGTCATAAGGAATAGGGCCGCCCCCCTATGGCAGTTTACTATTGGAGGGCTTTTTTTATACAACTTACAATGGCAAACAAGCTGTCGGCCCACCTGATGGAAAGTGGTAACCGTCGCTTATAAACATGAGCAGTACCATGGACATAACAGAGTATACTGTTTCACCCATGATACCCCCCATGCGTTGTCATTCCTGAGGACTCAGGTGTTATACCTCTGTACCCAGTAGTTTACCAGTACTACTAGGTTTGGCAAGTATACTAAGTATGGCAACTACGGGTTTACCCAGTAGTTGCCATACTTAGTAGGTAGGTTGGCTATCGCAGTTTGGCTTTTGGTGATGATTTAAGAGGGTCGCTGCTGTCCGTCCCTCGCCTATTAAGTTATCTTAGTTGCTTCTTACAACGGATATGGGAAAGGAAGGGCTGACCCATTAGATATTTACCATGTACACGATGAATTGTAGAAAAAGCGTAATCATTGCCGCGCCCGGGGAGAAGTCGTCGATGCAGAAGTAACATCTCGGGTTCTGATTTTTTTCTGTACGTAAAATAATTAAGAATGAATAAATGATCTTTAAAGATTAAGAGAATGACATATATATATATATATATGATGGAAATTTCAACCATTATGCAAAGAAGGGTTAAGATGAAAATTATTATTATTATTTTTAAAATTTTTACAAAACTCACATCTCCCCTTTTAAGGAAAGGAGATGGCAAACTAACCCCTGGCAGAAGCACAGTCGGCTGGGGTTCAGGGGCCCAGAGAGAGAAACCGGTGTACAATGCGGGCAGTATCTAAGAGCACCGCTTTCTGCATCTTTCCCGGGAGTGAGCCGCCTCGGAATTCCAACCGTCTGAGATGTTCCAGACTGTTTGGGATAAGACCGTTCACCGAAAAAACAATTGGAATGATTTCGGTGGACGTCACCCCTAACATTTCGGTCACTTCGTGAGCTAAGTCGAGAAACTGACGCTTCACGTTCTTTTTTTTAATTTTTTTATGATGCTGTCATTGTGAGGTGCGATAATTTATTCAGAGTTTGTTCTTTTCGGTTTTGTATTATTGTGGTTGTATTATGGTTGTAATTTTTTGTGTACTTGTTGTAATGTTTTATGTATTTATTGTAATGTTTTATGTATGTGTTGTAATGTATTATGTATTTGTTGGTAAGCGTGTTGAGTCTCCCATCCGGAAAATAGGTATTGGCGACCCGCACGCATGCTAAAGGTAAAGGAGTTAAGGGGCCGCCTGAAAATCAACGCTATATAGGTATATCTCGCTGGAGCTGTACATATATAGCAACAGCTGAGGCGGCCCCTATTACCAGCAACATTAATTGTTCTTTTTTCTTTTTGTTGTTTTAATATTTATTTTCTTAATAATGGTAATAAAGGTCATCTATCTATCTATCTATCTATCTATCTATCTATCTATCTATCTATCAAATAATTATTATTAGTATGAATTCCTTACCGCAGCAGCGTTGCGCGTCGAAGCCGTTGTCGGGCACGAGGAGGCGCGGGCAGCGGTGGCGGTTGAGGTGGCAGTAGGCGTTGAGCCGCGCCACCTGCGCCGCCCGCAGCGCCCCCTCGGTGGCGGCGTGCGGCGGCAGCAGCGCGCCGGCCAGCCGCGCCGCGTAGTACCACGCGTCGCGCGCCTGACTCACCGACAACATCTCCGACGCATTCTTTATGCTCGGCGTCATGCATCCTGCCGGCGGGACCATGGTTATCTTGTTTGTCAGGTTTTTTTTAATAGGAAGTGGAATGGCGAAGATGGAATAGCAACCCCGCTTGCGCTATCGGCATACACTGGCGGGGTACCAGTATATTAATGGGCGAAGATGGAATAGTAATCCCGCCTGCGCTATAGGTATACACTGGCGGGGTACCAGTAAAAGGTGAAAGGTGAAAGGTGAAAGGTGACAGGTGAGGATGAAGGCAGGTCAGTTGGCCCATAGTGACCAATTGAACAAGTATTAACCACTATGGTTTCTAGGGGAAACATAGGGGTTATTACTTGTCGACTTGATAGGGTGTATTGCTAGCAATAAGGCTATTAAATCTCATTACTAGCAATATTCTACATACTCAGTAAGTATATAAGCTTAAATTTCGAATTACGAACAATGAATTTGAAACTTTTTTGCGTTCGAATTACGAATGTTTATACATTTTAAAAATATCGATATTCTAGAATTTTCCATAACATTCAAGTTGGACTGAACTCGGAAAGAGAACTGTGTGGCTGTTACATTGCACCGTTGTACCGATTCACTTGACATTTTTCAACTTAAAAAAAATACGCGTTTTTTTATCACACAATTTTTTTTTAATAGTTGATAATGGAATGGTGACACCCGCGCTATCGGTATACACCGGCGGGGCACCAGTGAAGGATGATAACTAACAACTTGCAACTCTATGGCGGAATATAAAAATCGCAATTAAAAAACAGGGATTGATCGTAAAACTATTCACCGTTTTACGATCATAAAACGGCGAAAATTTGAAGTTGTGTGTATTTTTCAATGCAAAATATTATTTTAATAAAAATAAAAAAAAAATTGTCAAAAAAATAAATAAAACAATATTTTGGTGTGGGTCACCCTTATCATTAAGGGGTATGAAAAATAGATGTTGGCCGATTCTAATATTTACCCGATATGAACACAAAATTTTATAAAAATCGGTAAAGCCGTTTCGGAGGAGTTTGGTAACAAACACCGCGACACGAGAATTTTATATATTAGATAATATATAATATTGATATCACGTATAAAGTCTAGTTAATAGTGTATTATAGATTTAATACTGTTTCTCGAATGCTACCTATCGAGTGGTGATCCCACTGAAAATCAGCGCTACAGCAACACGCTGCAGCTTAGCTGAGTGGTGACCATTTCAGCTGTTACCACAGAATTATTATTTTAATGTATAAAATTGTCATTAATATTGTTAAGTTTTGTAGATGAATAAATGATTTTATTATTATTAAATTTATTTAAAACGGAACGCTAAAAACATATTGTGGTGGCCTATGCTATACCGGGACTACATAGCAGGACGTTATTTCTATAGCCATATAATACAGCGAGATAATGCCAGCTATGATAATAATCCGAACTTCCTGTAGATTTTTTTTCTTAGGGTTAGTTTAAATTTTATAATTTTCTTTTGTACAGCAGAAAAGAAAATAAATCGTTACTTACCGAATAATATGAGTAGACCAATGAGTAGAACACTGGCGATTTTCTCATTGAAATTGAAACTGATGAGGTACATAATTGCGAAGAAAGAGAGGCTTCCAAGGAACAGAATGACTGCAAACGCCCCTGCAGACACACACAGGAAAAAAAATAATATAAGAGAACGCAATAAGAGCAACTGAAGTGAAAATAAAACATTTTTAAAAGTTTTGTCTGTTTTATTTGTAAAAATTATAGTTTTGGCATTTATTGACCTTATTGAGACTGTTCAATTATTTTTACTTAAATATTTAAAAATCTCTCACGTACAGTAAAGTAGGTAGGTATTGTATTATATTTATATTATTATATTTATTTATAGTATATGTATTCATATAATATTTTATTATATATTTTAATATTTTATTTAACTGTATATTTGTTTATGTACTCTAAATATTAATAGTTGTAGCACTTCAGCTGCCCGCTGACGACATGCTATCTAACTGTACTGGGTTGACTGGAAGAGATCTCTGTCAGAGATAAGCTCACAACATTTATAAATGCATTATGTAATTTACAAGTGCAATAAAGAATATATATATATATATATATATAATAAGTTGGGATATATATTTACATTATTACATCTCTATATTTTAGAAACAAGCAATAACCCTTGTAATACATGTCTATAGAGGTAGGCAACAGTTACCATTTTCCATCAGGTGGGCTTATTTGCCATTACATTTTGCATATAAAAAGATTGAATATATATATCATCGTGCCTCCGATCAATCTGTTTATAATTACTCCTCTCCATCCAAAGGTTGCTTAGAAGAGATCGCTCTTAGCGATAAGGTCGCCCATTGTTTTCTCACTGTGATTATTTCTTATAATTGTTTGTATCTATAATAAGTTGACTATTGTAATCTTTTTGGAGGAAACAATAAAGAGTATCTATCTATTTATCTATATAGCAGACATATACGTACAGAGCAGGGAGGGCTGGTGAAGCGTGTGGTCGGTGTCGAGGGCGGCGGCGGCGGCGAGCGCGGGCAGCACGAGCCCGAACAGCGTGACGGACATGTGCGCGGCCAGCGACGTCAGCCAGTACAGCGGCGGCGGGCAGCCCGACATCACGTGGATGTGCCGGGCCCCAGATATCCGTTCCGCGCTCGGCAGCGACACGAAGTTGATGCACGACGCCTGGATAACTGGGCGAACAATATTAATTGACCTTTTTAATAATATTCATTGCCAGAAACAATACGTTTGTTGTGGTAGTTGGCCCATTGTGAGGAATTTACTAAAAATTAACTGCAAATCTTTATGGACGTAGATATTACGACGACAAGACGTACGTAATGTGCAATGGGGTTGTATTAACATTTTGTATTTGCGGAGGGATTAAATGCATACGCCTCAAATAGATACTTGATTGGTGTCTCCCTCTATTATAGATAAAACTCTCTTGAATAAAATTAATATTTGTGCATTAACAAGAGCTCTCGCTGGATACCACAAACTAAATAAGTCCATGGCTCAACTAGGTTTATGCCAAAAAAGTGTTTGCAGATTTTGTCACCACGAGGAAGAAATGTTACGACATATTAGAAAATACACTTTATATCCCGAAGAGATAAATAAAAAACATGATTGCTAAAAACGTCTTAAAATTCCTTTTTAACGAGAGATATGCTCTTGAAAAAGGACTGTATATTTCACGAAAAAAAAAAACGGTCGTTGCTAGTGGTAGAGAAAAATATAATCACTCAATTATGACATCGTCATATATATAATTATATATATATAATTTAAAAATATATATAAATATATATATATAATTTAAAAATATATTCTAAAAAGGTAAGTTCTGCACATTTCTATCACTAACAATGAACTTAAAAGGGGGGGGGGGGCGACCACAAAAGATTACAGAGGTCAAAGTGTTACAGGTTTTTCAGCTCTCTGTTTCACTCGATAATAATAATACCTTACATTATATAGATAGAGTATCGAGCCTCAAAAACGGGTCAACTTTTTGTCAGCTAATTGTCAAATTAGCTGACTCATTTTTTTATCAGTGTTCTATATACTTATGCACACAATGTACTTTGACGTATTTATATTTAATTATATAATAAATAAAATGAGTTTTTGCGCATTAAAAAGGTGCAAAATTTATAATACAAAATAAATATAAAGGAATCACACATACATATTTAACACGTAAAATTGTATGAAAAAGTTGACCCACTTTTCTCAAAGTATTTGTATGTAGACACTCTATAATCTAAGAATTTTTTTTATACCACTGAGGTGGCAAACAAGCATACGGCCCACCTGATGGTAAGTGGTTACCGTAGCCAAAATAATACATAGATAAGAATAAACTCACTGAAGAGAACGGTGAGAGCCCACGCCATAGTCATGACTTGGCTCTTCGGGTGTTGCAGAATTATTCGATGGTGGTAGTCTTCATCCTCTATAGGGTGATTGTAAGTGGAAATGATCGGCTCGTTCGTCCTGAGCAGCTCCATTGCCAGCACATTCGAGAACGCGTTCATGGCAACAGGCACCGCGTGGCGTACCGTCGTCGTGTACAATATCTGGTGATGGAAATGGTTTACCCAATTAGATATTATTTTGCAGATGTCTCTGGTTAATTGATTAAAATTTCCAGGGTACAGAGGCATAACAACTGAGTCCTCAGGAATGGCAACGCATGGGTACTAATTTCACTTAGTGTTTCTGTAATAATTTAAATAAAACTTTTGGCCACAACAGAATATCAGTGTTTTGCTCTTTTAAAGGCAAAGCAATAGAACTGAGTTTTTTTTTATACAACTTAGAATGGCAAACAAGCTGACGGCCCACCTGATGGAAAGTGGTAACCGTCGCCTATAGACATGAGCAGTATCATGGATATAACAGAGTATACTGTTTCGCCCATGATACCCGCCATGAGTTGTGACCATTTTGTGTGTGCACACGCATGAAAGGGGAAAATGTTACTTCTTTTCTGCATTTTGCTTTTTTCGTACATGTAATCTTTTACTTCTTTTTATTATGTATGTTTATCTATCATCATCATCATATCAGCCCTTAACCGTCCACTGCTGAACATAAGCCTCCACTTGGGGAGTAGTTGCCACGCCTGGCAGGCGGGTTGACAACCGCAGTCAGGCTTTGGAGATGTTTTAAGAAAGACGCTACTGCCCATCCCCCGCCCTCCCTTAATCACCTTTTACGACACCCACCATCCAGTCAAAAAAACATTTATAACTATGAGTTACAGTCCCACCTTTGCATCTGTATCGTTGATTTCTATTCCGATCAAATACTTGTTGTACTCCAACTTGTCTTCTTTGCCAATACGGATGATATCTAGAGGAAACAAAAATTGAATGTATGAAGACACGTTCAGAAAGTAAGTGTAAGAGATTTTATATTTATTCAGACGAAATTTATTTAAAAAAAAAATAGAGGATATGATGATATGACTGTCAACTATTTTTCCCCCAAAATTGCGCAGCTTCGTTATGTCTTTTTATTTCGATTTTTTTTTTATTTTTAAGTTTTTTTTTTCTCCGAAAACTAGAAACGTTTTCGCAAAAAGGCAGGAGGCTTTGAGGTAGCCCCAGTAAAAAAATCCAATGAATTTAAATCCGGTGAACATGGAGGCCACAGAATTGGCTCTAGGCGCCCGATCCATCTGTTTGGATACCTTCTATTTAAATATGCTTGAACCGGTACAGCATAATGCGCGTAGGACGATCGTCATTTTGCAGCCAATACGATTCCTTCAGCTCCTCGGAAACCTCTTCTAATAAATTGGGGAGATCATTTTGAAGAAACTCCAAATATCTTTGCTCAGTTAAATTCCCCGGTAATTATGCTGTATCGGTTCGTGCATATTTAAATAAAAGGTATCCAAACAGATGGATCGGGCGCCTAGGGCCAATTCTGTGGCCTCCACGTTCACCAGATTTATATCCATTGGATTTTTTTACTGGCGCTGCCTCAAAGAGGAAGTGTACCGTAAGCCTATACAGTCTTTGGACGAATTACGCAGTCGTGTCAGTGCAGCCGCATCGAAAATAAACGAGCGACGGTACACAAGACTGCTCAGAAGAGCATTTATCCGAAGATGCAGGGCATGCATAAGAGTGGGAGGAAAACAATTTGAGCATTTATTGTAAATTTATGTAAAATAAATTATTTTAAATATTAAATGTTGTTTTTTTTTTATTATTCCCCAATGATGAGATATAATTTAATTTAAAAATGTTCCCATATTACAAATTTTGTTATTTAGTAAAATTTTCTCCTTTTCTACATTAATGACAATAATTCACTATTTATGATAGACACAGTTATGAATTGTACCATTGTAAAATCTACTTGAAACAGACAATATTTTAAAATTATTGGTCACCCATGTATTCATACATTTTTTTTATACCCTATTTTTTTTTGCATAAATTTCAAAAATAAATTAGTTTGCGTATTAAAAAAAAACAGCAATAGCTAGTCATACTATTCACTTTCTATCTATCATCACAGTTAGTGTATAATAATAAAACAACAAAAAAACCAATAGAATTCATTCATTTTTGGTCATAGTGATCAGGACAGTAAAATAAGATTTGACTTGAAGAGATGACTTGAAAAAATTTGACTTTTCTTTAAAATAAAGATAACAAAGTACTACTTATATTTTGTTTCGTATTTTTTTAAGACGGCCATAAGTTGAACTATAAGACGTTTCAAGGTTATCCATTCATTACTGGACACCCTGTATATATATATATATATATATATATATATATATATATATATATATATATATATATATATATATATATATATATATATATATCTAGTTTGAGTGCGTGCAGATACATTTGCCAGGGTGTACCACAAGCAATGTGGATTCTCATATACTCCATTACCAACACCATATCCACACTCAAGTAGTGAGGCAGATAAGATAGACACTTACCACCAATTATATCTGTACTTTGTTCCACAGTAGTGCCACAGCACAGCTTGACGTCCGTCCGCGCGCGCTGTCCCCTCATATCCACGTTGTACAGCGCCCGTTTGTCCACCATCTTGTTATACAGTTCCAAGTTCATCAGCCTAGCCATGTTGCTGCTGGATTGGTCTACTTCGTCATTGTATGTCCTCGTGAATATGCAGATCAAGAGGATCGGCAGGATTATTTGCTGCAACATACAAGGTGCACAATCTTCAAAGTCGTCAGTTGCAAGCTTTCAATATGAGTATAATACTTTTTCTTTTATTTTATACAAAAATCCACAGCTCTCAAAAAATAACTTACATGCCAAGTCTCTTATGAATTTTTTTTTATACAACTTAGAATGGCAAACAAGCTGACGGTCCACGATAGAAAATGGTAACCGTCGCCTATAGACATGAGCAGTACCATGGACATAACAGAGTATACTGTTTCGCCCATGATACCCCCCATGCGTTGCCATTCCTGAGGACTCAGGTGTTATTCCACTGTACCCAGTAAATTCACGCCATATCCCACACTTCAAACCGAAACACAGCCATGTAAGCACAGCTGCTTCACGGTAGAAACACGAATGGGACAGAGGTACCCAAGCAATCGACTTTTGTACAAAGTCTCCCTCTGGTATACAGCCAATAACGGATTTTATTTATACAAACAGAAATTTTGATTCCAAAGCGAGGTAGGCAAGTTAGAGTATGCAAGTAATATACAGTGCATGTATGAAAGAAACCATGTATGATAATGAGTCTCCATAAAGTTAAGTTAATTTATATATAAAATAAATAAAATCCATGTTGCTAAAGTTCAGATATTGACAGCAATGATTAAATAATACAAATATAATATTATTAAAATAAGTACCTTATGAGATGGAGAAAAGAAAACAGTAAATAAATATATAATGGTATATAATTTATAATACAGGGAGAGAACAAGTATATGACACCGAATCGTATGATTGTAAACATGCATTTATAAAATATGTTTATTAAATAACAATTAATATAACTAAAATAATAAATAAAAAAGAAAAATTAGTGCCGATATTTACTAAAAAAAAAATCTTATTTACTGTACTTTATAACTGTAATGAAAAACTATGCAAATTAATTTTTTTTTTATACCACTTAGGTAGCAAACAAGCATACGGTAAGTGGTTACCGTAGCCTATGAACGCCTGCAATACCAGAGGTATTACGCATGCGTTGCCGACCCTGAAGAAACCTGTTTACCCCCCTTTTGAAGAACCCCATGCTGTAGTCTCTTGGGAATTATTAATTAATTAATGCGGGTACTTCGCACGAGTATAGATAGTAACATACTGGAATTCATACCAGAAGCAAAAACGAGTACTTCTTCGATATAATGTACTTCACTTGTCGTTTGAAGAGAGTACTAAACTGGCGAGCCCATAAACGGAAGCCGTCGATTTTTATGGGCGTTACTGAAAGAAATGTATGATTATTACTTGATGAAGCGTTCCAATGGGAATTATAAACGGGAACTACGTAGTTAAAGGCGGGGAACGCCACGGGAAACGGCTAGTTTATAATAATTTTTTATTATCTAGCGTTGTCTTGTCAATAAATTTTACTCCATTGCGTATTTCTTTACAATTGACCGATGAACAAACTATCTAACGAGACATGGCGCCTCTCAACATATATACGAGTGTATGTTTAGGAACAATGTAGATATGGTGAGGGAACGCAGGGCTTTGTCGGTCCGCGCCAATATGCTAGGCCGCAGATTCTTGCGATGGTATAGACACAGTGAAAATAACACTATTTAGTATATTGTTTCGCCCATGATATCCCCCATGTGTTGTCATTTCTGAGAGACTCAGGTGTTATTCCTCTGTACCCTGTAAATTCACTGCCATATCCCATCCTTCAAACCGAAACACAGCCATGCAAACACAACTGCTTCACGGTTGAAACACGAATGGGACAGAAGTGCCCAAGCAAACGACTTTTGTACAAAGTCACCCTCTGGTATGATGCAATTACAATTATTAAAAATTACTTACTGGCATTACCGTCGGTTTCATCTTCGGCAGGCGTCTTCTCAATTGCAGATAGTCTAAAATGGATTATTAATATATTAAGTGAGGGGAGAAAGGGATTGTTAGTAATGGAGACTGAGAATACTATTGCTAGCAATATACCCAACCAGGCCGACCTCCTCGCGGTTCCCCCTGGAAACTATCATGGGTAATTCCTGATGAATTCATCATGATGGGCTAACTGGCCTGTTTTCATTCTCATCTATCACCCTTCACTGGTGCTCCGCCAGCGTATCCCGTTAGCGCAGGCGGGGTTACCATACCATTTTCAATCATCAAATATATATATATATATATTAAGTGAAAGTAAACTATTAAATTTATACCTGTATTAATATTAATAATAGAAAAAATATACTAATAATTAGAATAGATAGAATAAAATACCTACACAATGTTTGCTCTAATAAGTTTAGTACTAATTTTGTTAAATTAAATAGAATTGTTTGTTCTAAAAAAAAAAAATTTGAATAGAGGAAAGATTTCACTTGTTGTATGTATTATGCATTTTTATTTTAACATTAAATCTACCGAAATACCGACATACCTAATCCTACCATGAGCGGGGGGAAAGGGATTGTTAGTAATGGAGACTGAGAATCCCATTGCTAGCAATATACCCAACCAGGCAGACCTCCTCGCGGTTCCCCCTGGAACATGATGAATTCATCAGGAATTAATCATGATGGGCTAACTGGCCTGTTTTCATTCTCATCTATCACCCTTCACTGGTGCCCCGCCAGCGTATCCCGTTAGCGCAGGCGGGGTTACCATACCATTTTCACCCCCCCCCCCCCAATCCTATCATGAACAGTCAGATGACCGCTTTAAAATAAAATATGTATATTAATATAGAAAGAGATTTTAGCCTATTGGATAATAAACAAGTAAATAGTAAGTTGTAAATATTTCACCTCCCCCTCCCCCCCAAAAAATCCTATCATGAGCGGTCAAATGACCGCTTTAAAAGAAAGTATGTATCTTAATATAAAAAGAGATTTTAGCCGATTGGATAGTGAACAAGTAAATAATAGTAAGTTGTAAATATTGAAAAGTGGCTTGTATGTATATTATAGGAAAACTGAATAAGTTACATGGTGATTGACAGGGTGAGTGAGTGACAGTAACGTTATACATGAAAATTTTTAAACTAAATTTCAAAAACGGTCATTTGACCGCGCCCGGTAGGTTTAGTGTTAATTTATCATGCAAGTGCACACACAAATATAAGAGAAGCAAGTCTACTATTGAAAATAATATCAAACCAATCCAATTTCATACTGCATTCATGAAACAGGGATCAGGTTATAATTGGGATCGGTTTACAATAGTTTTTATTGGCAAGTTACACTGATATGCATCTATCAGAACAATATGGAACCATTGTGTCGCTAGTGTTGCAATTCGAGAGTAAAACATCTTAATTTCAATATCGATTTATTGGAATTTATTTCAAGAGTAACCTTCACACAGATGGTTTGATTTGCAATAAATAAACTCAAAAAGCATTGTACATTTCTTTTTTAATTTTTACAATATATGTATCTATAATAAATCTTTTAATGTATCCAATAAATTATGTATAATAAAGATTATACAATATATTATTGTCTCTGCCTACCCTAATGGGAGACAGGCGTGACAGATATGTATATATGTATGTATATGTATATTATTTTGTGAACCTGTAAAATTCAACTTCTGTTTAAGAATCAACAGGCAAGTTTCTTGCGGCGGTCGTAACATGCCAATTTTAAGATTGTGTCCTACAAAAAATCCGATATGAATTATGATAAAACAATTTATTTCGATAAAAAAAAAAACTACTGAATCCACTTTAATGTAATTCATATGGAACCAATCTTTAAGTATATCCTTTCAAATAAAAAAAAAAAATTACAACCGAATTAAGAACTGCTTAGTTTTTGAAGTCAATTGAATAAGACAGGTACTTACTTCAAGAAAACCTCTTCGAGGTTGGTGACCCCGACGCCTATGTTTTTGATGTTGAGCTCCTCGCGCTTGCCTTCTAGCGCGTTGAACATGGCCGCGAACTTGTCGCTGTCCTTGGACGGCAGGTCGTATATAATCGTGTTGAAGGACTCCTGTTTGAATGCTGCGTCCTTCACGTGGGACGTTATTATGTTCTCGACGTCCGCACGCTTGTTATCACCGGTGAATGTGAGAGACAGACGGTAACCGGATCCTGTTGGGATATAAATTATTATAAGCCTATGTCCAGCAGTGGACAGCCATTAACTATCCACTGCTGGACAGAGACCTTCCCTATTGGGGGGGGGGGGGGTTTGCCCGTAGTTACCATGCTTTTATATACCATGGTTTTGGTAATATTTTAAAAGGGATGCCGATGCCTGTTCCTCAACTATGAAGTTCTTTCAGTTGCATCATACGACATCCACGGAAAAGGAAGAGGTGATCCTTTAGTATTCAGGAATGGCAAATCATAAAGAAGTACCATAAAGGTTAATAAATAAAAAAAAAATACACTATGGAAATACTACACCAGTGAAACGCAGTTTTTTTTAAGGGGTAAATATGAAATAGTGGCCCCGCCTGCGCTATCGGTATACACTGGCGGGGCACCAGTGAGAGATAATAATAGGTAACTATGAAAGCAAGTCAGTTGGCTTGTCGTGACAAATTCACCAGTGATTAACCAAGATGGTTTCTAAGTGTAACTACATGGAGGTCGATGTGATACAGTTTTTTTTATATGACAACTCTTTTGCTATTTTAGTTTGCTATTGAAGGTTTAGCTGAGTATTTTTGTATTTGTTTTTCTTTTTTTTTTTAAGAAATGATAGTAATGGGACAGTTGGGACTCCATACTAACTGTTCCTTTTATCTCACTAACCTATTATCGGTACTATCTACTGGACACAGGTATCTTCACATAAGAGCTAGATACTACCACTTATGCTGTAGTCGGAGAGAGAGGGATTGTTAGTAATGGGGGTCTAACAGCTCCATTGGTAGCAATATACCCTATTAGGTAGATCTCCACGCGGGAATCATCTTGTTTAATTCTCACGAATTACATCACGACGGGCCGACTGATCTACCTTCATTCTCACCTATCATCCCTCACTGGTGCCCCGTCAGCGTATACTGATAGCGCCAGCGAGGTTACCATTCCATTGACACGCATTAAAAATATAAGTGTACTATCACCGCTTGGAAGAGATGGCCAGGGTATATACCTATAGCTTTCTTGAGGAACATGGGCGTGGCGTATGCGCAGAGGTGTCCGGAAGTGAGCAGCGCCACGCGGTCGGCCAGCGCGTCCGCCTCCTCCAGGAAGTGCGTCGTCAGCAGCACTGTCCGCGAGCCGCGCAGCGACTGCGAACAACGTACATAGCATCTTACATTATATAGATACAGCAACGAGCCTCAAAAACGGGTTATCTTTTTTGTCAGTTAATTGTCAAATTAACTGACTCGTTTTTTTATCAGTGTTCTATTTACGCACATTAATATATTTTGACGGAGCTATATTTAATTATTTAATAAATAATATGAATTATTAAGCATTAATTAGGTGCAGAATTTATAAAACAAAATAAATATAGAAATTATAAAGGAATCAGTCATAACCATTTATCACGCAAAATTGTATAAAAAAGTTAATCTGCTTTTCTCGAAACATTTGTATGGAGACACTCTACCATATAGGTTGTTCAACGTATGCAAGTAAGGTAGCGCTACATTCAGCGTATCTTCGATCGCATTAATACCTTCCAGCGCATGCGAAAGAACCCTCCAATACTTGTAGCATTGGAGGGTTTGGATATGAAAAGATGTGGAAAGTTTGTAGCAGTATCATTAAGTAAAAGAGAGTAAAATAAAAAAAAAAGTGCAAAAAATGTGATGACAATGGGGTCACTAGATTTCATCATTAATAAACGGCTTTGATGGGGCGCACTTATGTATTGGTCTTAGATTACATAGATAGAGCATAGAAAATAAAAAACGTGTTAAAATTTGATCAGAGAATTTGATGATTAGCTGATATTTTTCTTAAATGTAAACACAAAGCGTTTTTAATGTTGTAAATAATTGTATAAAGAATTCCCTAGACCAGTCAATTATTTAATTTGAATTGGGAACTATTTTAATATAAGAAAGTTTTAATATGAAATTACATATGTGCGTTTTTTTTATAAATTAATATACATGTATTAATTGAAAATGGCTGCCATTTTCAATTATTTAAATATACATTATATATATATATATATATATATATATATATATATATATATATATATATATATATATATATATATATATATATATAATGGCCGAATACATAGGGTATATTTATATACATAATTCACTCATGTAATGATAAGTGTCATAACAAATCATTATGCATTGTTTATTTTATTCTTTCAAATATATTCGTAAGAATTTTAAATATTTATATAATTTATATATTTCATTTTAACCTGACAAGATAATTTCTCCCATATATTGGGTAAAAAGTGTATATTACGGTAACACTATTGACGCACGCATGGATAATAAAGACGTGTTTCTGGCGCAGCATGTGTATGTAGAGGGAGAGGGAGAGGGAGAAGGAGAGTACTCACGAGCAGCTGGTCCCAGAGCGCGCGGCGGGTCTCGACGTCGAGGCCGGAGGTGGGCTCGTCCAGCACGAGCACGCTGGAGCCGCCGGCCAGCGCGCACGCCAGCTGCACGCGCCGCTTCATGCCCCCCGACAGCTCCGTCACTCCACTGTGCAGCTTCTCCTCCAGACCTAAGTTTTTCAGGAGCTCTTCGGCGTCAGAGTAGGCCTTGTGAGAACGATAGCCTTTCAACTGTAAAAGTATTGTAAGTATTAGAAATATAACTAGCGACTCGACTCGTCTTCGCACAGTTGAAAATAGAATACAGCCCACGTTACTAGTTGATACATTTTTTTTTATGCAGCTTGAAATAGCAAACAAGCTGACCTTACGTCATCACTTTACATCAGATGGGCCATCAGCTTGAAAAACAATGTAACCTCAAATGTTTCGATTCAAACAAGTCATATTGTAATACTGCTGTAAATACTGAACTGTGTACAGACCTTGAAGAAGAAGACCACGTGTTTCAGCACAGTGAGGTCCGTGAAGAACAGGTTGTGCTGCGGACAGAGGCCGATGTCTCGTCGCACTTCGTCGTGGTTGACGGTGGTGTCGTTACCGTTCACGTACACTTTGCCACTCGACGCGCTCATCATCCCTGCGGACCATCATCATAATTCATCATGCACCGGATCCGAATTTCGACGGTTAAGAGGAAACGCGAATACTGTTTTTTTATACAGACATAATCTCCTATTTTCTTATTAGATAAAGTAATACAATAGTGAAACATTTTTTATTATACATCTGTCCTTGCTATGTGCCTGTCTTCAGATATTAATCACAGTCTTATACAAACACTCACACATACACGCGTAAGCACGCATGCACGCACGCACACACGCTTGCTTATTCGGACGTACGCTCGCGTGCTCGCACGCAGCCACACATACACGTACTTTCTTAACTCCAAATATTTTCTAACTAACACGGACAACATTTTTAAACTGTGCAGACAAACCATTCATGAACATTTCATATGTAGTGGGGGGAACAGGGTTTGTTATAGGAACAGGTAGGAGGTCAATGCCAGCGATGGAGACTAGTCTCTATCGCTGGCATTGACCTCCTCGTAGTCCCCCTGAAAACTATCGTAGTTAATTACGATTGAATTAGCAACGGCTGGCCGTCTGACCTGATTTCATCCTTTAATGGTGTTCCACTATTATATATCATTAATACAAACGGGTGCAACATCTCATGTGTTCTAAAATTGTTATAATTTACATTTTAGGACTCACCAGTTATTATGGACATGAGCGTGGTCTTCCCAGCTCCGTTTTGCCCCAGCAGAACTGTAATCTCGCCTTCGTACGCGTTGAACGATACATCTTTTAGGGCTTGGGTTTTCTGGAAATTCTGCATAGACGACGGTAATAGTAACAGTGGGTACCACATAATCACATCAATTGGCAGGTCCTCAAGCTACGAAACCCGTGTTATGGGGATCCGGGTAAAATTTAAAAATGTCTGTTTCCTAAATTGGCCCTACTAGGAATCGATTCCAAGACCTCATGAAAAGTAACGTGCCCACCATTGCACCACGGAGGAAGTCAGATAATATACAATGGATTTTGAATACGAATCATAAAGTTTGGGGGAAAGGGATTGTTAGTAATGGAGACTGAGAATCCCATTGCTAGCAATATACCCAATCAGGTCGACCTCCTCGCGGTTCCCCCTGGAAACTATCATGGTTAATTCCTGATGAATTCATCATGATGGGCTAACTGGCCTGTTTTCATTCTCATCTATCACCCTTCACTGGTGCTCCGCCAGCGTATCCCGTTAGCGCAGGCGGGGTTACCATACCATTTTCACTCATCAAAAAAAAAATACGAATCATAATGATACACTTATATTGATAGTCTTAATTAAATTGTTGATATTTACAAATTAAAAATTAATAATAAGAAAAACAATACAATATAATAAATCACTATACACACAATTAACTATTGTCAGTTTTGTCATGTCATTGTTTGCGATCCTTCCTAATCCACGTGGAATGGGGGGAAAGTGATTGTTAGTAATGAGGTCTAATAGCCCCTTTACAAGCAAATATACCCTCTTAGGTCGACCTCCACGCGGTTCTCCCTGGAAACAGTCACGGTCAATTTTTGTCGAATTCATCACGGTGGGCCAACTGAACTGCTACATCATCACCTATCATACCTCACTGGTGTCCCGCCGGTGTATACCAATAGCGCAAACGGGGTCACTATTCAATTATCATTTATTAAAAAAAAATCCACGTGGAGTCGATATTCTTTAATAATAAATTAAAATTAAATTTAAAATTTAATGAATATACAGGATATTCAGTTATAAATAAATAAATAAATTTGCAGCATACAAAATAAGTTTCTTCAGTTTTATGTTTAAAATTATAAAATAAGCTATTTATGATGTTACAATAAGTATAAGTCCTCATATTTCGCCATAATTAAGCATGCAAATATTAAAACTTAAAAAGAATAAATGTTAAATAAGTCATTAAAATTCGAAATGTTGAATAAATAGGGGTCTCTTACCTTGGAGACGTTATCAATCTTTATACCGGGCTTAATGCCCATCGGAGAGTTCTCGAAGTACTCGCTTTCAAACTGCTTCAAATTAACCATCTCGTCGTCGTAAATTATGGTGGGATCCACTTTTTTGCCGCAGTGCTTAAAATAAAAAAAAAAAAAATTATTCATCGTCTACTCTAATGGAATTTAATGAAAATGTAAACAAACGCCATGTGGACTCGGTATAGAATGGACCACCCCTTCCTTTCCCATGGGTGTCGTAAGAGGCGACTAAGGGAATTTAATAGTCCTCTGATGTACGCTATCGTCGAGTTAGAAACATTTTTAACCGACTTCAAAAAAGGACGACATTTTAAATTCGGTTCGATTTTTTGTTCTTTCTTACCTAATTTTAACAAAATCAGATCAGTAGTTCAGTTTTTAAATCGAAAAGTTTGTTCTGTCAAATCTTTTTTGTCCAAGAAAATCTTACTTTTTTTAAAATAATGTAATGTATCTTCTTGTATTCTTCATCACCATATTTAAAAATGATAGAATTTTCATCGTATCTCAGATCAAATTGATTATTCAAAAAATGGTCTTCTCTCCTTTACCAAACCCCTCTTTATCCAAAAATTGACTGGAAGAGATAGCGATAAGGCCGCCATTGTTTTCTCATTGTCATTATTTCTTATAATTGTTTGTATTTATAATAAGTTTGCTATCGTAATCTTTTGGAGTAGTCATAGTAATTTTTGCAGTGTTACCTTGAATATGAAATTCCATGGTTTCGCGTGTCCATATTTTCCGGGCAACACATGATTTAAGTACCAGGCCAACGCAAAGAATATAAAGCATTGGAGGATCATCAAGAGGAAACCAACAAATACAGGGGCGCTGTGGATGCTGTGTGAGCTCATCATAGTACTTAATGTCACGCCCTGGCCTGCAAAACAAAAAAAAAAAATTGATACAATTTATAAAAATGCCTGTAATCCCATGTTGCCGTGTGGTCCCGCCATAGAATGAGCCACTCCTTTCTTTGCCAGGAGTGCCGTAAGAGGCGACTAAGGGAACTTAACGGTCGAGAAATGGACAGCAGCGTATCTCTTAAAATATCACCAAAACTGCCAAGCGAGGCGACTGGCAAAACATTCCTTATGAGGGTTTTATGTTCCGCAATGGACAGTTAACGGCTGATATCATAATGATTATAATTCTCTGTGGCCTGTGACATAATAGTTCTACTAAACTATTAAATTTAAATGTAAATTTCAGAAATAAGTTCAGACAACAATCGAACAATCTTCCTTCAACTCTCTTCAAATCTATCTTTCGTAACGCATTGGGCATCCGTGCAAGCACGTTGCTTTTCGTAAACAAGATCCTGGATTCGAATTTCAATCCGTCAATTTAAGAAAAGAATTGCCTCAGATCGGGTGTTCTGCGTTGCAGCTTGGTGTTTCTTGCCGGGTTTTTTTTTTTTCAAAGACACTTTATGTTTAAAAGATCCTAGCTTAAGGACTAGGTGAATGGTGACTCACCAAAAGCTTCCAGTTTGCCCAATTCCTCCCAGAACCAGTAACAGGGCATGTGCGGCAGGAGTCCTGTGATCCACAATAACCGCCAGTCCATGGTCAGGTTGCTGAGCAGCCGCGAAGGTATCCAGAGCACCACGTACGTAAAGACAGCCACGGTGACCACATATTGACCTGTGGAGGAAATAGATATTTTTTTAAATTAACTGGCAAATATGACATTTAAAGTGCATCGCTGAAAGAAATAAAGGCTATCTTAAAAATCGAGTTTGAGAACGGTTTCGAAAATTGGAAAGAGCTTTTTGAGTTTTATATTATACTTTTTCATATTCTTTTTGGCATTTTTTTTACAGGTGCTAGTGCTAAGTTTTGTTGTTTCCAGTCACACGTTTCGTCCTAGTTCACTCTAGTCGCCACGCTTGGCAGCCGGATTGGCAATCGCAGTTAGGCTTTAGAGATGTTTTAAGAGGGACGTTGCGGCCCATCCCTAGCCTTCCCTTAGTCGTTTATTTACAGGGTACAGAGGAATAACATCTGAGTCCTCAGGAATGGCAACGCAGGGGGGTATCATGAGCGAAACAGTATACTCTGTTATGTTCATTGTATTGCTCATGTCTATAGGCGACGGTTACCACTTTCCATCAGGTGGGCTGTCAGCTTGTTTGCCATTCTAAGTTGTATAAAAAAAAAGTTGCCTCTCACGACACTCACAGAAAAGGAAGGGATGGCCTATTCTACGCCGGGACCACACAGCGCACCCACCATTGCATACTGTTAGCATAAGCAGGTGCATTAAAAAAATATAATAGAACTTACTATTTCTCGCGATGTATGAAGCGGCGAACGCCATCGCAATCACGGTGAAGAAGTGCAGTAGTAACGCGAGGTAGATGAGCAGGAAGGTGGAATGCGCCACGTACGGGTTGGGGGTTGTGGTCAGTACTATGGTGCCGATGAAGGAGTAGGCCAGGCCCCCGGGCAATGTGAAGATAATGTGAGATATCCCGAGGAGGTAAGACGATACGCCTATCATTTTCATTAATTCCTGCAATAAAATAAGGACCTTAGTAGAGACAATGCTTTCAGGGAGTGGGGGAGTGGGGGGGGGGCGCTCACTAACTAGTTAAGATTATATGGAGAGGAGCGGAAACTTCAAATTGGAGTGTGGATTTAAAACAGTATACATATTGGAGTTAACTTCAAGAAATATAAATTTTCTCATTTTATTATTTGTTATTCATCATCATCATCATTATTATCATCATATCAGTCCTTTACCGTCCACTGCTGAACATAAGCCTCCCCCTAAAGGGTTTTGCCAGTAGTTGCCACACTTGGCAGGCGAATTGACAACCGCAGTCAGGCTTTAGAGATGTTTTAAGAGAGACGCTACTGCCCATCCCTCGCTGTCCCTTAGTCGTCTTTTACGACACCCACAGGTAAGGAAGCATATTTTTAAAGCAATTGTGTTACACGAATAAATAAAAAAAAAATGAAGAATATGGCCTATTCTATGCCGGGACTACACGGCCAATAAATTAACTATATTAAGTGTTTATTTTTTTTATTTATTCGTGTAACACAATTGCTTTAAAAGTATGCTAACGATTTAGAATTCAGTTTGCAATATTGTATTTTTTATACATTTGTTCTGTTTGAATACTTGTTTGTGTCCTGCTTTGTAGGGGCAGTTAATTCACTCACTTGTATGCCGGATATCCTTTCTTCGACGAGCCTGGAGATGAGGAAGACAAAGACGAGCACCAGCGACACAAAACATGTTATGGTCAGTATTGTGCATATGAGCTCTATGTACTCGTTGCCTTCGTCGCTCACGAACGGGAACTCTTGCATGGTGATAGTCTGACACAAAAAGAGACGTATTCCATAATTTAGATTTACCAGAGGGCAGTGTTGCCCGACTAGGTATTTTTTACATAATTTTTGGTAAAAACTTTTGTCTTTAAAAAAGAGAAATTTTGTTGGCATTGTTGGAGAATTTTTGGAGAAGATTTTTCGAACGCAACAGTTGTTATTTGTCTAAACGTAGTCAAACCGGACAAAAGTTTGTGATTGAGTAAAATTAAAGCAGATCGTATAAATACGGAGAAAACGTTTATGAATCTAGGGCTAAATAACAAAAAAATGGATCTGGCAACACTGTTAGGGAAAGAGGTTGTTGTGAGTACACTGAAAGGCGATAAGAACGTTCTAATATCAAATTCTGAGAACGGCTACATTTATTGATAAATTTTCGATATCACAGTACAAAATGATTAAGTAGAATATAGTTGAAGTACACTCAATAGGTCTAAATTACTAATGTTAAATTCAATTAGGAACTTTAAGAAAGGCAATTTTTCCCTTAAAAAATTACCAGTCCTGTTGCTAGCAATATACCCTCCTGTCAGGTTTGGAAACCAACGTGCAAAGTTCCTGGTGTACTCATCACGATGGGATAATTGATCTACCTTTTCATCTTCACCTACCGTCCCTCACTGGTGCCCCGACAGCGTATACCGTTAACGCGGACAGCATTACCAATCTATTGTATTCCAATAAAAAAAGTACGTATACCTTTCATAGTGATTGGTTAAACCTTTAAGGCGATATGACGTAAAAAAAGAACTTAAACATTTATAATATTAGTAAGGATACATTAACTGCTTTTTATTTATAACTTCATTCGAGTAATCGGAATGTTTGACCGCGATAAAAATAGCCTATGACTGTGTTTCTCTAAACCAAATGCCCCACATACGTAAATACCGCGGGGAATTCTCGTATTTTATTATGTGAACAAAGAGACTACAATATATCATATTGTAGTCTCTTATCTCTCTCTCTCAGTAATCAATATTATTTGGATTGGTTGTTTTTTTAAAAGATGGGGTTTCCCCTACTGCCTAAAGGTTTCTTCACACGACACGGCCAGTATCTTTTAAATTTTTTATTACAAATATAATTTGGGATTCTTTATATTGTGACAATGTTTAAATTTTATTTCTTCTAGGATTCAGATAGCAATTTATAAAACAGAAAAAAAAAACATGAGGACTATAGACATAAATACTATAGTTATATAATAAAGTTGTTATTAAACGTATGTACATGGAAGTTTGTTTAAAAAAAATGATATAGGATTAGGAAACCATCCTGAACAATTCTCGTTGAATTCGTCACGATGGGCTAACTGACCTGCTTCATCCTCACCTATCATCTTTCACTGGTACTCCGCCGGTGTATACCGATAGCGCGGGTGGGGTTACCATTCCATTATCACCCATTAAAAAATCCCCGTCCCGTCCCATACTCTAGTTACCGAACAAAATCGCGTATAAAAACTAGTCTTCACCGGATGGAATCAATATTTAGATATCTGTAGTGTAAGTAATTTCGTAATGTTTTTCAAAAATATACCTTATATAAAATAAAATAAGCATCAGAACACTATAAAAAAGTAAGAATGAAAGTACACTGATAATCTTATCTATTAGTGTTGTTTACAAGATATATACACTATCAGTTTTAGATAGAGAAGGATTATTAAGTTTATTCGATTATTAAGCGACTACAAAAAGATGTTTCCTAATTAGCTAAATTTTTTTTGTGTAATATAACACAATTGTGTACAATTACGCCGCTAACTTTCGATTCGATTCGATTCGATCGAATCGATTTTTACAGTTCCATTTGAAATCGATAAGATGTATGCTTTATTTTCAAACCGACTTCAAAAAGGAGGTTCTCACTACGGATGTATTTTATGTATGTTTTTTTAATAGGTGATAATAGAATGGTAACCCCGCCTGCGCTATCGGTATACGCTAGCGGGGCACTAGTGAGTGATAATAGGTGAGGATGAAAGCAGGTTAGTTAGCCCACCGTGACGAATCCCACTTGAATTAACCACGATGGTTTCCAGGGAAACCGCGTGGAGGTTGACGTGATAGGGTGTATTGTTAGCAATGGATCAGTTAGACCCCATTACTAACAATCCTTTTCCTCTTTTTACGTATGTTACGTAGCAGCTCCGTCAATTTAATTTTATTACATATAATAGAATATATATATATATATATATATATATATATAATAGAATTTTATCAAAACCGGTTCAGTTGTTTAATTTTTAAATCAATATAGCTAGTTTTGTCATAATTGAAATATATATATATATATATATATATATATATATATATATATATATATATATATATATATATGCTTACTAGCGGCCCGGTACGTGCTTCGCTACGTATAAAGTGAAATAATAAAAAAAAAATTAAACGTCAAATTTAATAGTGGTGTATCAGTATTTATACATGTGCATATATTAGTGTATGGAAATGTGTATGACCGCATACATCAATCAATGTATATAAAAGTGTCATTAAATAATTCATTTTTAAATCGACGTGTTTCCATCAAACAAAAGAATAAAACACCCGTATGCACCTAATATTTTTTTTCACATAAAGAAACACACATACATACATGTAATTCACTTCAACAGTTCAAAACTTAACGTTGTTTGATAATTAAATTCAAATAAAGTACTAAATAGTCCGAACAAAGCCTAAACAAAACAAACTTTGGTTTGGATAGGTGAGCCCGTTCTTGGTATTAATTTTTATGTAGTAGACACTTGGTAGTTTACTTTGAAATTATAGAAATATTTTTAAAATATGAAAATCATGTTTCAATAATTATTATATTAAACGGTTTATAAATTTTGTTCCCATTTTACAATTGGCGAATATACCGCGTACATAAAAAAAAAGTATTTATTGATCCGCAAGAAGCGACCGTCTTCGAGTGTGGACGCATCGATAAATGACTAATTGCTTCATAAATTATCTACAACAAATTCATTCGTAGATACCCTACATTGTGTTATTTTGTTTTACTTTTAAATATCGCTGATAGATGGCGTTTAAACGTGTCCATGTATGTGTCAAGTATCATCATCATGTCAACCCTTAACTGTCGACAGCTGAACACAGGCCTCCCCCATGGATTGCTAGGGTTGGTAGTAGTTGTCGCGCTTGGAGGCGGGTTGGCAATCGCAGTTAGACTTTGGTGGTGTTTTAAAAGGGACGCTGCTGCCCATTCCTCGACCATTAAGTTCTTTTAGTTGCCTCTTACGACACCCACGGGAAAGGAATTCCTTATTCCACTATAAATTCTAAATCTCAACAAATCTGCATGTGTATGGTATCGTTAGAATCCTTACATCATCCTGAACGACAACAATTTTATATATATTTTTTTTAATTACTGTTTGACAGGACAGCCATGCTTATTAATTTGTAAAGCAAAATATTCTTGCGTATTTGTCTGAACACTAGACGATTATAATTACGTATTTACTTGATATTATTGCATCATTATTTGATGCACATTTTGCAAAGAAGCAGCGTCTGCAATTCTAACAAACAAGACCAGTAATTTTGCTTTGCAAAGAAGCGGCGACTCCAATCATAATAAACTAGTAAACTCCGGACATTTCGGATCGACAATAATCGAATTTGGTACGAACAATTGTGTTACTACAGATAGATTTTGCTTCGGAACAAACAGTTTTGTGCTCTGCAATGAAAATGGTCACTTAAGTCGTCAAAAATATGTGATGTCAGCACAGGAGTAAAATATCGATTGTAAAATACATTAGTAAAATTTTACACAGCGTTACTAATCGAATACTCGACACTCGAATCGAACTATTCGGTCGATAATGAGACCGATTTAAAAATTGGCATACTTGTAACAAGCGTGTACGACAAACCTCTAATGTCTGCTATATTAAAAAAAAAAATCCGAAAGATAATTTCATGAGCAATATAATTCTAGGAAACATTACCGTAATCACTGTAGATACAATACAAATACCTAAGCAATGTATTAAAGAATTCGTAGATATGTCCTTTGCATACCTTTTTTATATTTTTATATATCACCTTACAGTTGTATCGTGTAGGTACGAACATTCATATATTGCAGCGAAATTACAGAGTACGGAGGCATTGTACCTCAATCTTCAGGATTGGCAATGCATGATGAATACCACAGGTGTAACAACGTATTCTGTGATGGCCATGGTGCCATTCATGTTGTTTAGCCCTTTTATCATCTACAAATATTTCATAATTGTTCACCCATGAACAGCCATTAGTTTAGTAATCCAAGTAGTCGAAAAAAAAAGTAATATCCAGAGAAAGGGATTAGCAATGAGAATGAATGACCCTATCGCAAGCGATTATAAAGACCGCGCGGAGGTCGACCTGATAAGATACCCTGTCAGGTGCTCCCCGAAAACTATCATAGTTAATTCCTGGTGGGGGAAAGGGATTGTTAGTAATGGGGAGGGTAGTCCCCATTGCTATTAATACACCCTATCAGGTCGACTTCCACGCGGTTCCCCTGGAAATTATCGTGGCTAATTTATCGTTGAATTCGTCACCGTGGGCTAACTGACCTGCTTTTTCATCTTCACCAATCATCTGTTACTGGCCTACTGTACTTAGCCAGCGTATACTGCTAGCTCAGGCGGGGTTACTAATTCATTATCATCCATTAAAAAAAAAATTATTCCTAGTGAATTCATTACGATATGCTCACCTGAATTCATTTATCATCCTTCACTTGTGCCCCGCCAATATATACGAATAATGCAATTGCATTTGCATGTACGGGGTTGCCATTCCATTTTTTCCAATAAGAAAAAAAAAATAGTATAATTACCTGATTGACAGTGTCGCCAGTACGCATTTCTAAATAGCTCTTGTCGATTGCCCATTGCAACTTGGCGAAGGACTCGTAAACAGTACCTGAAGAATGCAAATAAATTAATGAAATACGAATCATATCCATTCCTACGTATGGAGACGGGTTAATACAATGTTTTGTATCGTGAGTGACGTCACTAAAAATAATTAAATTAAAACAAAGAATAAATCAATATCCTGTATATTGATTTTGATTTGATTGGAATCGAAATTGTTAACATGCTCTGATAGAAGTATTCTACAAGCGAACAGAGTGAGGGAGGGACTTTGTACAAAAGTCGTTTGCTTGTCAACTTGGGACACCTCTGTCCCATTCGTGTTTCTACCGTCAAACAGTTGTATTTACATGATTATATTTCGGTTTGAAATCTCTGGTGCCCCGCCGGTGTATACCGATAGCGCGGGTGGGGTTACCATTCCATTATCATCCATTAAAAAATATATATAGATATCGGATCGGTATCAGATCGGTACCCATGCCTACTTCCATATTAATTAATTAATTTATTTGTTAACACGTCTTCTTTAGCTGTTGAGTTAGTATGAGAGACACAATTTTTTTTTTTTTGTTGTATTTTAATTTTTCAGTGACAAAATTACTGTCCTATTAGGTTTTATACTATAGGTGGATTTCTTAGCTTTATGGTACTAAGCTGTTAGAGCGCTATAAAGTAACAAAGAAACAAACTCATTTTCATAATATTTATGTTATTACTAAGAAATAATAATTACTTTAGATTTAGATATAGAAAAAAAAAACATGATAGTGTAGATACACTGTCATATTTTTATGTTACATTCTTAGGTAACTTTGCTTGTCGCAATACAATCATACATAATCATTCATCATCTACCATTTTAGGTCTTTTTCCTTATATCCATCCATTTTTATAATCAAAATTCAATCTTTTTGTATATGTGGTGCTATCGGACTTCCTCTCATATATTAATTGTTTTTATTAACAAAGAAAATATTATGATTATCTATTATCTAACATATAATTAATTTATATGAAAATTAAAATTGATATGTTATATAAATTTTTGTAAATTCATGCTTAATTTTTAGCATTTTTTATAATATTATTTTATCTAAAAACTCCCAAGGTTGATTGATAAATAATTTTATTACAATATATATTTATCTGTAGTTTTGAATTGTAGATACAGAACAAAAAGGCAATTGCAAAAAATTATTATTATATACATACGTTCAAATGAAAAATAAAAAAAAACTAAGTTTTTTTTTTCACCGTCTAAAGAGTTGTCGTTGAAGAGATAAAGGCGACATTAGTGTTTACGTCCCCTAATCGTAGCGACGTTCGCCGTAAAGTAACCTATGCCCTTATCCATTCTTCTCGGCTCTTACTCATGTCTTCGTAAAAACTCTAACACCTTTCTATTTTTGATCAGTTAAAATCGAATTCAATTAAACAATAGCTAAATCATTAGGTGACACTAGTCTAAAGTACACGGGACTAAATCATAGAGAGTACTGGACGAAGGTGTTTCGATTGACCCACTCACATTCGAAATCAGCCTGTCAAGGAGACATTATCTACAATACAGCCTTGTCTGAATGATAGAGATCAATTTAAAACAAAGGCATTTTTTTTAAATGATGCCAATTTTAATCTCATTTTTTATATCATTATTGCTATAGTATACTTTATATTTACTGGAAAATAGCAACGAAAATAGATCAAGCAGGTTTTTTTTTATACAACTTAGAATGGCAAACAAGCTGACGGCCCACCTGATGGAAAGTGGTAACCGTCGCCTATAGACATGAGCAGTACCATGGACATAACAGAGTATACTGTTTCGCCCATGATACCCCCCATGCGTTGCCATTCCTGAGGACTCAGGTGTTATTCCTCTGTACCCTGTAAATTCACGCCATATCCCACCCTTCAAACCGAATCACAGCCATGCAACCACAACTGCTTCACGGTAGAAACACGAATGGGACAGAGGTACTCAAGCAATCGACTTTTGTACAAAGTCTCCCTCCGGACTGGTCTGTATAAAGCCTTTTAATAATTGGCAAGCGAATCCATCGATGGAATCGTCATTTCTAACGAGACCGTGGTAAAGAATGAGCTAGCGATGTTCGATGTCTCATTCCCACCTATGGACCCGCTAGCGTTAACGATTCTAGATTTATTTATTTATTCATCAGTACAAATATGTGTACATGGCGGACTTAATGTTAAAAGCATTCTCTCCCAGTCAACCATAGGGAAGTGTCAGAATACTCGAATGCGGCACTAGCAATTATTGATATACATACATACTAAAATTCCATATATAAACGAATAAATATATATAAATAACAAATATACTTATACATATATGACATATACTATATTATACACGAAATTGAGAATAATATAAAGTACTAAATAAAGATGGATTGGTTTGAAATTTCTTTTGGTTGCGAGTTGACCTATCGTAATGGATGGTTTCCAAAAACAACCGCGTGTAGGTCGACTTGACAGGGCAACGGGGACTAACCACTTCATTACGGGGGAAGGAACTATTGGTAATGAGGATCTATCAGGTCGACCTCTACGCGGTTCCCCCTGGAAAATATCTTAATTAATTGTGGAAAATTCGTCACCAATGAGTTAACTGACCCACTTTCATTCTCGTCTATCATCCCTCACTGGTGCCCCGCAAGCGAGGGAACCATTCCTTAATTATTCAGTAAAAACCTCATTACTAACAAATTGTTTTCTTTTGTTCTGATTTTTTATACATTATTTAAAATTTTAATAATGGTTAAATTATTATAAAATATTGTATAGAACTATCTATTTATATATATATTTTTATAGGTGATAATGAAATAGTAACCCCACCCGCGCTATCGGTGGCGGGTTACTGGTGGGGCACCAGTGAAGGGTGATCGATGAGAATAAAAACAGGCCAGTTAGCCCATCATGATGATTCATCTGGAATTAATCATGATAGTTTCCAGGGAGAACCGCGAGGAGGTCGACCTGATTGGGTATATTGCTAGCAATGGGATTCTCAGTCTCCATTACTAACAATCACTTTCCCCTCTATTTATATATATTATCGCCTACAAACTTGTTTACCTAATTAATTATGTACACTGAGATGCGAATATTTGCATTGTACACACACATTCATATTACCTATACTAATTTATAGCTCAAATTATCACTTTAAGACCAAAGGTCTTGATCGAAGAGGTTGCGAACGAGCGAATGTTGTGGAGCAAAATCTATATAATTATTTTATACATAAATTAACTTAACTTTATGGAGACTCATTATCATACATGGTTTCTTTCATACATGCACTGTATATTACTTGCATACACCCAACTCTAACTCGCCTACCTCGCTTTGGAATCAAAATTTTTGTTTGTATAAATAAAATCCGTTATTGGCTGTATTCATAAGAGACTTAGCATGTAAGTTATTTTTTAAGAGCTGTGGATTTTTGTATAAAATACAAATAAAAATAAAACACTTTAAAAATAAAGGATGCCAACAATTTTTAATTGACCATGTATATATAAAATGTTAATAGAAGATGACATGACATGGAAGAAGTCTGTTGGGATGGGATGGGATGAAAATGGAAGCGTAACCACGCCTGCACTATTGGTAACTGCTGCCGAATTAGAAAAAGCCGGTAAAGTGCGACTCGGATTCGCGCAACAAGAATTCCGTGCAAAATTATCAAGTTTAATTTTTTTTTATGTGAAATAACTACAAATCGGCGCTGGACGCACATCAGTCCAGCAAAAGCTGAGTTTGTACCTATTGCCAGGCATACGAATACTACATAAGGTTTTATTAAGGATTTATTTATTTATTATATATGTACATTATAATTTATGTACCATATTTGTAAAGAATGGTAATAAATTTATTATTATTAAATTTACGGTTATCAGGTTTTTCATTTACTTGTGTGACATGGTATTGCTTCTTATCAAATTTCATGATTCTAAGTATCCAGGAAGTACCCTATAGGTTTTGATTCCCTTTGCGAATGTCAAAATTTGCGATACCAATGGAACATAAACGGCCGTATCTTTCAATTGCGTCGATTTAGAAGCTTGATTTTTTCACTGCTTTAAGAGATCACAGACTTGAGTATATGATATTAATTTCAACTTGATACCTCCACGCATTTCTAAGAAAAAGGGGTTTTGACAGACGGACGGACAGACAACGAAATGATCCTATAAGGAATCCGTCTTTTCCTTTGGAGGCACGGAACCCTAAAGAATAGTCTGTCAATCGCACTCGATCACTCGAGGCAATGACCTTCCAACCCACAACGACAGGACGTCGCGTCGCATAAAATGGCTCCTCCTGTCCGGTCGATATACATATAAATAATTAATTGATGTGTACGCAGTCTAAAGAGGTAGTAAATACCCCCCCCCCCCCCCCAATAGGGGAAGCTCATGTTCAACAATGGACAGTTAACGGTTGTAGAAATTATAAGGAGAGAAAGTTCGTGAGTTAAAAAGAAACAAATTCGGTAGGTCTGTCTAAAGACTATTTTATTACACGGGCCAAGCCTTTTGTATCTATTCCATCTATGGCGGTGTTTTCCAACGTGGGCAATTAAAAAATGGACTCCAAGCGATTTTAACCCTTTTGCTCTGGACCATTTAAACGCAATGCTATGACTTATTTTTCATCACGCTACGATCAATGGGAGCAGAGCTGTGAAGGGAAATGTTAGAAAAACGGGAGAAGTTACTCAATTTTCAAGCTTCCGTCGCGTGTGCAGCCTTAATAGCCACTTTTTAAAATGTAAAAGTCTACCCGTGCGAAGCCAGGACAGGCCGCTAGTATAGAAATAAAATTTTCATTTATTGAGATGTTTTATATAAAAAAGAATATATATATGGTACATGTATATACATATCTGAGCGCGATGGTCACGCGAGTTCAGTGCTATCCCTCATTTCAAAAAATGCCCAACGTATAAATCGTCATAGTCGTAGAATTTTGCCGGATCTTTATATGTAATATTTGTCAGATCCG